GTCTACTAGTTCCATAAACCTGGGGACCTCAACTGCCATTCCAACCACAGATTTTTAGAGAGGAGGGAAGAAATACTTTGTTGTAAGATTCAGTTCAGTTTTGCAAAACCCAGTTTGGTCTAGTGATTAAGGCATCACTAAAGTTTTTGAGTTATGATAAAGATAAAAATAGTACTAACCCTTCTGGTTGTGCTTCTTGTCCTGATTACCTTGAAGCATTAACATTAATCTTCCAAGACTGAAAGTATTTCTCCCTTCCACTTTCTGGAAAACTAGGGAAGGTCTCTTCTGTAACATGTCCCATGTTTTCCCCTGACCTGCTGATTAAGCTGCCTCTTATCAGAATATTTCCGAGGTGGCGAATTCTCCTCTGTTCTCTCAAGGCCATTCTCACTTATCGTCACAACAGCCTTCCAAAAAACCAGGTAAAACCTCATCCAACTTTTATGCAATCTTGCTACAATCCAGAAGTGCAGTCTCAGGCCACTCCTCACTATCATTACTATAATTGCTGCCTAGGAGAAACAGACCAGAATTGCTGCTCCTGTTGCTGCTACTCCTGCTGTTGTAATGCAAAAGAATCCTCAGCAGATGAGAGGCAGATTTGTGGCCATCACCAAACAGCCAAAAAGCCACTTAACAAGGCTGCCTCACCAAAGCTTCTGCTACTCCAGACAAAAGCAGCAGCTTCCAATTCATAAATCAAACCAGCTCTCACCTCCTCTGAACCAACAAATGGCTCTACCTCTCTGACATTCCAGAGGCCATTTGAAAGTGCTACAATATTCCGGATCTCCTGACACCCAGCCTCACCAGCCAACTGTTTGCACCTAACAAAGTAGAGTTCAACTATGCACAACCTATTACAAATTATCCATAACATCTTAAAATTCTCAAGTTGTAAAAACTTAAACCTGAGCCTTTTTTGACATCTGTAAGATAATTGATTAAATTGTTTCTATATTTCAGGCTTTTATGCTGCTCTGTGATCTCTTGATGATTTTTAGCCATCAGCTGATGAGTGGAGGCAGAGAGGGTCTTCAACCTTTGGTGTTTAATCCAGATTCATGTCTCCAGACTGAACTCCTTAGCTTTGTAATGGATCATGTCTTCATTGACCAGGATGATGAGAACCAGAGCATGGGCATGTATTAGTTATTTTGATGTGTACTTGTAAATAGTCCCAAATGGTTAGGAAAACCCACCCAGCTTTTTTAATATTGAAATTTCTCAGCTAATTACTAAGTTTGTAGGCTGTAATTTTTCTGTATTTGCAGCAATACTTAAGGTTTTTTTTAATCTGCTTCTAGACATTTTATGGAGATAGATAGATAGATAGATAGATAGATAGATAGATAGATAGATAGATAGATAGATAGATAGATAGATAGATAGATAGATAGATAGATAGATAGATAGATAGATAGATAGATAGATAGATAGATAGATAGATAGATAGATAGATGATAGATAGATCGATCGATCAGCAGAATAAAAGAGAAGGAACTAGAGAAAATCACAAAATGCAAAAACCTGCAAATAAAAATAGAACGACTATGGTAAAAGAAAGCAAAGATAATACCAATAGTAATAAGTGCTTTGGATGCAATCCTAAACAGCTGGAGTACCACTTGACAAAATCACCATCAATTGCAGAAGGCAGCTTTGCTTGGAACAGCCTACAGTCCTTTGACTATACCTTTAAAACCTTCAAACAACAACATTTGCCTAACCCAGGTCCTTAGGAAGAAGACTTGATAAGTGGATAAAAATGCCAAACATCTGGCTGACTGTGTGACCAACTATAATACAAATGCCAATAATAAGCTGATCTCTTCAAATGATACTATCTCATGCACAAAAGAGAAACAGTAACAGAATTAAAGTTAAGTTCATAGGATTTTTGAAAGAAATGTTTAGAAGAGATGGTAACATCTCTCTTCTCCCTCCCTAACATGCTGTGGAACCTAAGTATAGCTAGTAACTATAGGAGGCTATTTGGTAGTTTCAGGGGGGAAAGAGGCAGGGAGACTAAATATAATTGAATAGAATTCTGCCGATCAAATCTTGGCCAGGAACATTCCAGTACGGTATTTTTTAGCAAGTTTCTCTTGTTGCTAGTTAGCAACTATCACAATAGCTATCCTGTCATATTTTAGAAAACTGCAGAATGTATCGATTAGGTAAATGAGAAATAATGACATTAAAAAGCAACAGTATTTTATTTCATTTATTGTTTAGAGGGAGATGAAGAAGATGAAGCTAATAAAATCGAAGCTTTACACAAGAGAAGGAATCTTTTGGCTGCCTTTAGCAAACTTATAATTTATGATATTGTAGATATGCATGCGGCAGCCGATATCTTCAAGCATTACATGAAGGTATGATTCTGTGCTATGTTACTTTAATAAATCAGATTTGCCAAAATGTATGAGATATTTCTAAGGCTAACTTCATTTTGGTGAAAAGTCAGGCATACATTATTTAAATGATCCTCCATTTACTTAAGTCTCCTGGAGTTGAAGAGATCCGCCAGAACAGGGGTGTCAAACTGGCAGCCTGCAGGCCAGATGCGTCATGCATAGGCCACGCTTACCCCGGCTCCACAAAGGCAAAAAACATCGCGATATGTCACGATACGTCACATGACACGATCGAGTTTGACACCCGTGCTCTAGAACAAACTAAGATAAAGTATTCAAGGCTGCACTAAGTATAGAGGAATCATTGGAAAGTTTCCAAAGCAAAACTCCATTATAAATACAAGTTTATAATTTTAACTTTTTCCCAATGAATAATGTTCTTCCTATTAAATGTTCTTACTGTGTCCAAAATATTTACAATTGAATATTTTTGTAACATTACAAATGAAAAATGTTAATTTATGTATCTTGTTTTTGTGCCCTGGAGTCAATCCTTACTCCTGGCAACTGCCTAAACCAGGGGTGTCAAACTGCCGGCCCACGGGTCGGTTTCATCATACCGGAGCCACGCCCACCCCATTGGCGGCAATGGCAAAAAAGCTCTGATACGTCGCACGACGTCATGTGTCGTCGCGAGTTTGACATGTCTGGCCTAAACAAATCCATTTCCAGCAAGATCATCAGAAGTGATTTGCCACTGCCTTCTTCTTACGGTTGAAAAAGAATAATTGGTCCAAAGTTGCCGAGCTGGCTTTGTGCCAAAGGTGGTTTCAAGCCTGGGCCCTTTACTACTCGGTGTAACTGGATTTATTTCTTTATGTTAATGATCATTATTTTTTGACACTAGAATTCCACCATACTATTTCTGCACGGCAGTTATCTTGAGAATTATCTCTGAATTGGATCTTTGCATGGAAATATAATGAAATAGAGATTTTTCTATACACAAAATCTTCCCCTTATGTACAAAGAGAAATTTGGTTGGCAATATAAAACTATTCAGCTTAACACTATTTGAAGTTAGCATTTATTAATTAATTCTAGTGTAGAACGGATAGTTTATTAGATAAGACAATCTAAAACCCCACATCAAAGGTTGACTAAGAAAAAGATAGTCAGTAAAAATTAAATGCATTGTTAATTAAAATGTGCTCTTTTCTTGCTTTTAGTACTACAATGACTATGGCGATATCATTAAGGAGACATTGAGTAAAACAAGACAAATTGATAAAATTCAGTGTGCAAAAACTCTCATTCTCAGTTTACAACAGGTAAATTTTTTAGCCCCCATTAATTCTTTAAATGTGTCTTTTATACTTCCTTTATATACTTGAATGTTCTGTTGCTATCATGTGGCCATAGGATAGAGATTAATAGGAATATTTATAAACTATTATAGAATTTCTGATTAGAATAAATGAACAGTTAAAAATTGTCATCTATGATCAGTTCAGGACTACATTATAAAATTATTTTATTTATTTGTTAATTTATAGCACCCCCTAATTGGAACTCAAGGCAACATTCTCCTATTTTTCTCTATAACAACTACCCTATGAGGTAGGCTGGACTAAGAGTGACTGGAGCAGAATCGCCTAGAACTAAACTATAACCTGAATCTCTCTGATACTAGCCCAGCATCTTAACCATTTCATTCTGCTCATTCGGAATACATTAATTTAATTAATCATAGTTTAGTTTATATTTTGACAAAATATAAACTAAAAGGCTGTACAATTCATACAATACAGTTAAAATAGAAAAACAGTGTGCTCCATTCTATTATCTTCAGCATGCATATTTAGTATCAAATTTCAGTAATTTATTATACAATACTTGAGTCAGCATTATGAGTTAAAAACTTGTTGCATTGGAAGCTTAGATAAAGATCCCCCATTTTTTTCTTTTTTAAAGTTGAAAAGAATATTGAGAAAAAAGATGGTATTTCAAGTAGAGTTATTACTGCTCTTTCGCATAGAGGAGAAAGACAAGGAGGAGATACTTAAATAAATAAATAAATAAATAAATAATAATAATAAAGTTGGAAGGGACCTTGAAGGTCATCTAGTCCAACCCCCTGCTCAGGCAGGAAACCCTATACCATTTCGGACAAATGGCTGTCCAGTCTCTTCTTAAAAACTTCCAGTGTTGGAGCATTCACCGCTTCTGGAGGCAGGTTATTCCACTGGTTAATTGTTCTCACTGTCAGGAAGTTTCTCCTTAGNCAGCACTGTAAGTCTGAACAATCACTGAATGAATGAACAGCCGCAATCTGAGGACTGCCTGTAATATCCATGTAATTTTCTTCACTTAACAGATACAGGTATGATTTAAACCAAGGCCAATTTGCCTTCTCATTCCAAGTGGCATTTAAAGCCTCAGGAACAACCACATGGTTCCAATAGGGGCCATTAAGTAATTAGGAGAAGACTGGGGCAGACTCCCTATGGAAAAGTGTGTCACCCAGTAATCAAGAGCCAGCAGAGAATGATTCATCCATGGCAAGAGACTGATGGTAACTTCCTCCAGCTCTGGATCACATTGCAACTGTCCCAAGATAAAATCCAGGTGTAATGTATGGTCTGCACTGTGAGTCAGGCTAGAGATAATTTGTGAGCCATGAACTCCCAACGGCCTCTAAATCTGTGCCCACGGAGGGCAGATTGAAGTCTACTAGTTCCATAAACCTGGGGACCTCAACTGCCATTCCAACCACAGATTTTTAGAGAGGAGGGAAGAAATACTTTGTTGTAAGATTCAATTCAGTTTTGCAAAACCCAGTTTGGTCTAGTGATTAAGGCATCACTAAAGTTTTTGAGTTATGATAAAGATAAAAATAGTACTAACCCTTCTGGTTGTGCTTCTTGTCCTGATTACCTTGAAGCATTAACATTAATCTTCCAAGACTGAAAGTATTTCTCCCTTCCATTTTCTGGAAAACTAGGGAAGGTCTCTTCTGTAACATGTCCCATGTTTTCCCCTGACCTGCTGATTAAGCTGCCTCTTATCAGAATATTTCTGAGGCTGCGAATTCTCCTCTGTTCTCTCGTCACAACAGCCTTTCAAAAAACCAGTAAAACCTCATCCAGCTTTTATGCAATCTTGCTACAATCCAGAAGTGCAGTCTCAGGCCACTCCTCACTATCATTACTATAATTGCTGCCTAGGAGAAACAGACCAGAATTGCTGCTCCTGATGCTGCTACTTCTACTGTTGTAATGCAAAAGAATCCTCAGCAGATGAGAGGCAGATTTGTGGCCATCACCAAACAGCCAAAAAGCAACTTAACAAGGCTGCCTCACCAAAGCTTCTGCTACTCCAGACAAAAGCAGCAGCTTCCAATTCATAAATCAAACCAGCTCTCACCTCCTCTGAACCAACAAATGGCTCTACCTCTCTGACATTCCAGAGGCCATTTGAAAGTGCTACAATATTCCGGATCTCCTGACACCCAGCTTCACCAGCCAGCTGTTTGCACCTAACAAACTAGAGTTCAACTATGCACAACCTATTACAAATTAATCATAACATCTTAAAATTCTCAAGTTGTAAAAACTGAAACACATACAGCTTTATATTAGAATCTTATATACCTGAGCCTTTTTTGACATCTGTAAGATAATTGATTAAATTGTTTCTATATTTCAGGCTTTTATGCTGCTCTGTGATCTCTTGATGATTTTTAGCCATCAGCTGATGAGTGGAGGCAGAGAGGGTCTTCAACCTTTGGTGTTTAATCCAGATTCATGTCTCCAGACTGAACTCCTTAGCTTTGTAATGGATCATGTCTTCATTGACCAGGATGATGAGAACCAGAGCATGGGCATGTATTAGTTATTTTGATGTGTACTTATAAATAGTCCCAAATGGTTAGGAAAACCCCCAATTTTTTAATAAATTGAAATTTCTCAGCTAATTACTAAGTTTGTAGGCTGTAATTTTTCTGTATTTATTTTTAATCTGCTTCTAGACATTTTATGGAGATAGATAGATAGATAGATAGATAGATAGATAGATAGATAGATAGATAGATAGATAGATAGATAGATAGATAGATAGATAGATAGATAGATAGATAGAAAGATAGATAGATCAGCAGAATAAAAGAGATGGAACTAGAGAAAATCACAAAATGCAAAAACCTGCAAATAAAAATAGAATGACTATGGTAAAAGAAAGCAAAGATAATACCAATAGTAATAGGTGCTTTGGATGCAATCCTAAACAGCTGGAGTACCACTTGACAAAATCACCATCAATTGCAGAAGGCAGCTTTGCTTGGAACAGCCTACAGTCCTTTGACTATACCTTTAACACCTTCAAACAACATTTGCCTAACCCAGGTCCTTAGGAAGAAGACTTGATAGGTGGATAAAAATGCCAAACATCTGGCTGACTGTGTGACCAACTATAATACAAATACCAATAATAAGCTGATCTCTTCAAATGATACTATCTCATGCACAAAAGAGAAACAGTAACAGAATTAAAGTTAAGTTCATAGGATTTTTGAAAGAAGTGTTTAGAAGAGATGGTAACATCTCTTTTCTCCCTCCCTAACATGCTGTGGAACCTAAGTATAGCTAGTAACTATAGGAGGCTATTTGGTAGTTTCAGGGAGTTTCTCTTGTTGCTAGTTAGCAACTATCACAATAGCTATCCTGTCATATTTTAGAAAACTGTAGAACAGGGGTGTCAAACTGCTGGCCCACGGGCCGGTTTCATCATACAGGAGCCGCGCCCACCCCATTGCCGGCAATGGCGAAAAAGCTCCGATATGTCACGCAACGTCACGTAATGTCGCAAGTTTGACATGCCTGCTGTAGAATGTATCGATTAGGTAAATGAGAAATAATGACATTAAAAAGCAACAGTAATTTATTTCATTTATTGTTTAGAGGGAGATGAAGAAGATGAAGCTAATAAAATCGAAGCTTTACACAAGAGAAGGAATCTTTTGGCTGCCTTTAGCAAACTTATAATTTATGATATTGTAGATATGCATGCGGCAGCCGATATCTTCAAGCATTACATGAAGGTATGTATCTGTGCTATGTTACTTTGTCCTAATAAATCAGATTTGCCAAAATGTATGAGATATTTCTAAAGCTAACTTCATTTTGGTGAAAAGTCAGGCATACATTATTTAAATGATCCTCAATTTATTTAAGTCTCCTGGAGTTGAAGAGATCCGCTAGAACAGGGGTGTCAAACTGGCAGCCCGCAGGCCAGATGCGTCGTGCGCAGTCCACGCTTACCCCAGCTCCACAAAGGCAAAAAACATCGTGATATATCACAATACATCACATGACCCGATCGAGTTTGACACCCATGCTCTAGAACAGGGCTTTTCAACCAGTGGTAAGGGTACTACCTGTGGTACATTGGCATCTGGCAGGTGGTACACGACCATCCTAGAAAAGTAGCGGGGGAGGGGAATGAGCTGAACCGGTGGCAGCACCGCACAAGCCTGAGCGAGAGATGACTGGAGCTGCAGGGCTGTCAGGGCTCAGCGGAAGCGCCAGGATCAGTGCCGCTTTCCAGCTGATAGACGCTTCTTCGGGGCTGTCAGGGCTCAGTGGAAGTGTCAGGATCAGCACCAGGCTCCAGCTGGATCAGTGCCAGGATCAGCTGGAAAGCAGCACTGATCCTGGCACTTCTGCTGAGCCCAGAAGAAGCGCTGATCAGTTGGAATGTTGCAGCATCTCCAGGGTCTTGTGATTTACATTCAGATGCTTGGCAACTGATTCATATTTATTACGATCACAGTGTCCCAGGGTCATGTGAAGTGACCAAACCTGCTGCAACCACCCAGCAGATAGGGGGAATAAAAACCAAACACCCCCCACCCCACCCCCGCTGCCAATCCTCAACAGAAATGCTCACAACAATGAAAACCTCGGACAGGAGGAAGAGCGCCACCGGGTGGGCAGGCGTCTTGCTCAGTTGTGGCTTTGGGGGCACTTTTTTCAGTGCCCTTGTAACTTTGAACAGTCACTAAGTGAACTGGTGTAAGTCGAGGACTACCTGTACTTTATCACTTTTTTCCTTTTTTTTTTTTTTTTTTTTGGTCATCAAGTTTTTGACAACTTGCTAGGCGACTGGTGGTACTTGGATATTGCCATATCCTAAAAGTGGTACAATGGGTGAAAAGGTTGAAAAACCCTGCTCTAGAACAAACTAAGATAAAGTATTCAAGGCTGCACTAAGTATAGAGGAATGATTGGAAAGTTTCCAAAGCAAAACTCCCATTATAAATACAAGTTTATAATTTTAATCTTTTCCCAGTGAATAATGTTCTTTCTATTAAATGTTCTTACTGTGTCCAAAATATTTACAATTGAATATTTTTGTAACATTACAAATGAAAAATGTTAATTTATGTATCTTGTTTTTGTGCCCTGGAGTCAATCCTTACTCCTGGCAACTGCCTAAACAAATCCATTTCCAGCAAGATCATCAGAAGTGATTTGCCACTGCCTTCTTCTTACGGTTGAAAAAGAATAATTGGTCCAAAGTTGCCTAGCTGGCTTTGTGCCAAAAGTGTTTCAAGCCTGGGCCCTTTACTACTCGGTGTAACTGGGTTTATTTCTTTATGTTAATGATCATTATTTTTTGATACTAGAATTCTACCAAACTATTTCTGCACGGCAGTTCTCTTGAGAGTTATCTCTGAGTTGGATCTTTGCATGGAAATATAATGAAATAGAGGTTTTTCTATACACAAAATCTTCCCCTTATGTACAAAGAAAAATTCGGTTGGCAGTATAAAACTATTCAGCTTAACACTATTTGAAATTAGCATTTATTAATTAATTCTAGTGTAGGACGGATAGTTTATTAGATAAGACAATCTAAAACCCCACATCAAAGGTTGACTAAGAAAAAGATAGTCAATAAAAATTAAATGCATTGTTAAGTAAAATGTGCTCTTTTCTTGCTTTTAGTACTACAATGACTATGGCGATATCATTAAGGAGACATTGAGTAAAACAAGACAAATTGATAAAATTCAGTGTGCAAAAACTCTCATTCTCAGTTTACAACAGGTACATTAATTCTTTAAATGTGTCTTTTATACTTCCTTCATATACTTGAATGTTCTGTTGCTATCATGTGGCCATAGGATAGAGATTAATAGAAATATTTATAAACTATTACAGAATTTCTGATTAGAATAAATGAACAGTTAAAAGTTGTCATCTATGATCAGTTCAGGACTACATTATAAAATTATTTTATTTATTTGTTAATTTATAGCACCCCCTTCCTTATTGGAGCTCAAGGCAACATTCTCCTATTTTTCTCTATAACAACCACCCTATGAGGTAGGCTGGACTAAGAGTGACTGGAGCAGTATCGCCTAGAACTAAACTATAACCTGAATCTCTCTGATATTAGCCCAGCATCTTAACCATTTCATTCTGCTCATTCGGAATACATTAATTTAATTAATCATAGTTTAGTTTATATTTTGACAAAATATATCTGAACAAAAAGGCTGTACAATTCATACAATACAGTTAAAATAGAAAAACAGTGTGCTCCATTCTATTATCTTCAGCATGCATATTTAGTATCAAATTTCAGTAATTTATTATACAATACTTGAGTCAGCATTATGAGTTAAAAACTTGTTGCATTGGAAGCTTAGATAAAGATCCCCCATTTTTTTCTTTTTTAAAGTTGAAAAGAATTTTGAGAAAAAAGATGGTATTTCAAGTAGAGTTATTACTGCGCTTTTGCATAGAGGAGAAAGACAAGGAGGAGATACTTCTGTAACTTTTATTTGGTAGTACATAATTGAATCAGAGAAAAAAGGGGGAGAAACTCCTTTAACAAAACAAAGACAATCCAAGTCTTCTTAATAAACATTTACTGAAATGTATGTCCATATTTTACAAAAGATGTTGAGAGAATACCTGAAAGCCTCCAAATTAAGAGAAATTAAAAATCACAGTTTTTGCTTTGATTAGCTAACACAATCAAACATTATAATGGTCTGCCTTGCATACTAATCTCCACATGAAAAGGTAGACTATACATATATATGGTAAGTTTATCAGACAGTTTATATTATTCATTTGTTTCTTTTCTAAGTTCTGTTGGAAACCACAGCTCTACGCCCTAAATATTGATATAGAATGTGCCACTATATTTGTAAAGATTTGAACCTTCAGTTCTTTCTGCAGCTGTTCAATGAGCTTGTTCAAGAGCAAGGTCCTAACTTGGACAGGACATCTGCCCATGTCAGTGGTATTAAGGAGCTGGCCCGACGTTTTGCTCTTACCTTTGGTCTGGACCAGATAAAGACAAGAGAAGCTGTAGCCACGTTGCACAAGTGAGTTGCAAGGAATGTGTTGAAGTCAAATAATGCCTTTTTTAAAATAAATATGCCCAGTAGCACTATATGTTGTTATATTGACTATGTGTGTAAGAGAGAGAAAGAGGGAGGGAGAGTTGCATTGGTGCTTAAGAGAATAATTAGGCTTTTGTAATAAATAGTTTTAGAAGTTGATTGTTTAAATATTAGTCACATTTTCTAAACAGCATTCTATATTGTATTACATTTGTTCTAAGCAATTTGAAGAAATTATTCATAAATAGCAATCACTGCATATTATTTATCACTATGTGTATGACCTCTAATGTAAGTAATAAATGCTTTAAATTGTTTTAATATATAAAAAGAAAAGCTGTAAAAAAATAATAAAGAAAACAACCAAAAACAGGAAGAGGATACAATGAAAATATGTATTACCTTTAATGAAAATAATTTTCCTCTGATACTTAAACGTGATTTAATCATGATTACAAAAAAAGATGAACAGTCTGTCATTTTATAACTATGGAAAACCAGTTTATCAAGCGAAACCTAGCACAGATACTTAATCTAGGATTGCAAATCTGTGGTCATACCACATTCCTAATATTGAAGACAATATTTTGTTTGTTTGCTGATAAATCCATAATTTCTCATAAAATGTTAACATTCAGAACTTGAAACTCTCCTAACCAACTTAAAGATGTTACATGGATAGTGATGCATTGAATTATCCTTCCTTTTTCACTGCATTTGGTATTTTATTTCAAGTTTGTATAGAGTTTGATACAGTTATTTAGTTCTTGGATATCTTATTACAGAGATGGCATAGAATTTGCATTTAAATATCAAAATCAAAAAGGACAGGAATATCCACCTCCTAACCTTGCTTTCCTGGAAGTACTTAGTGAATTTTCATCTAAATTATTACGACAGGANATAAGTGATATGTGAAGTAAAAAGTCTGGTTTAATTACAATTAATTACTGTACTGTACATCTAATTACAATTTTTATAAATTTATTTAAGAAAGTGTTGGCATCGAGGATTGTCTTTTAAGTTGAGAGAATTCTGATATTCTAAGAGCAAAATCTCATGGTTTGTTTAAACATATTCTAACCTCCAATTTTCTTTCTCTTAAAATCTTTTGCCACTAGAGAGGAGGTAGACTTTATTGTAGTCTACTATGTACATTCAGGCAGGAAACGTTAGCATTTCTGAGATAGATATTTGTAACAAGAAGTAGAATCAAATGGAGTTAATTTATGGGTAGGACTGCTTCCTTCAGCAGTATCTCTTTCCAACTGCAATAATCACATTCTCAATGTAGAGCAGTGGTTCTCAACCTGTGGGTCGGGACCCCATTTGGGGTCGATCGACCATTTCATGGGGGTCGCCTGCTCCGTCTCTGCCGCTTGCCAGCTACGCCTCGGCCGGCGCAGGGGGCGGAACCACGCATGCGCGGCGCTCCCGGGCAGGGAAAGTCCTCGACTTATGACCGGTTGGGTAGTCCTCGACTTACGACCGGTTTAGTCCTCGACTTACGACCAGTTTAGTCCTCGACTTACGATTGGTTGGGGTCGCGGCATTAAAAAGGTTGAGAACCACTGATGTAGAGGAAGAAAAGAATTTTAAGCTCTATAGCAGGGGTATCAAACTGGCGGCCCCTGGGTTGTATGCATCACACAGAGGCCACGCCTACCCCAGCTCTGCAAAGGCAAAAAACCGTTGCAATACGTCATGATATGTCACGTGACACGATCAAGTTTGACACCCGTGCTCTATAGAGTTGGGTTGAGGGAAAGTGGGGAAAGATTGTATTATATGACTAGACTTCAGCCTTCCTTCAAGCTTTTGGTTTGAATCCATGTTATTTTACTTAATTTCTTTGACCAGACTGAGAGAGCCAATCTGTTTCTTGAAGTGTGTAATATTTTATTTAGTCCACCACCATCCTAAGTCTTCTTAGTAATATGGAGTAGGCATAAAATAGTCCATTTAAAATTGGGAACGTGTTCAAACAAAACAAAGCATAAAACCATCAGAACTAACTACACGCTTTTAACATGTCTTGGAAATTTTAAAGTATTTATCCTAGTGCTGAAGTTATTGCATCAGAGCCAATAAATATTTTAACATAGAGGGCATTCGAGAGATAGCACTCCACCATTGAGAGAAGCCCTCTTTCCAACAAACATCTATTGGCAAGAAAAAAGCCTGTTGCTAAAGAACTTAAGACATGCCATTATTAGCATAAGGAAAACTTGCCATCTTTTCCCCTCCATAAGTCTGTCCTTCTAGATCAAATTTTACATTATGAATTTTGTGTATAATATAGTCTATGTACTATATATTTTATGTTAAAAATAGTTGCTACAAAAATAAAAGCTTATGAAGAAAACAAAATCATTTATAGCTGCTTAGACAGAAAATGTATTTTTTTTTAAAAAAAAAAAAGTTTTCACATATAGCTTTGGTATGTCAAGCCTGTAGCATTCAATAAATTTGTTGTACTCTGCCCAGACTCATGCTTTTGTGAGATGGGCAGCCATATAAATATAATAAATAAATAAATCTAGAGACATATAAAACAATAATTATTAGAAGGAAATAATTATGCTTGTTATACATTGCCTATTGTTATAATTTCTTCAGACATGTGGGAAAAGAAAGAGTGAATAAAGTCATTCTCTTGACTGCTGAGAAGAGTGGCAAAATGTACTTTCTAGAGCATTGTTCATGTTAGTCTGAATACAGATGTAAATTTTCTGCAATTTATTTTTCATTCCCTCCCCTCCCAGAAAAAAATAAAAATATATGTGATATTCCTTTTTATATCGTACCACTATTTACTGATCTAAAGTCACTTTATGCTATGAGAGCATACAGTGCAATATGTGTGAAGCTGTTTTCTCATACACTTATCCTGTTTTAATTTGTTGAGTTTAAAAAAGACCTGGAGGACTTTTAAAAAAAAAAAAAACCTGAGCTTTCACTTCTGTGGTCTTGAAATAGAGTCATTTGCAATTGTGTTCTGAAGAATTTAGAGTGTTCTTCTGGAATATATCTTTTAATACATACATATCCATTTAATTTCATATTCCTTGATCATTTAGATTATTTAATATTTTTATTCAGTCAATCATAATTTTTATTATGTTTGGCTAAGCTGCTGTTGTATTAACTCTGAAAATAAATGCCATATATGTAGTGTCTGATGAATATATTTTTATCCACAAATAATTGAGTTATATTGCTAGTCCTCCAGAAAATCAGGGCAGATCTAACTCTTAAATCAGAAATATAGTTTATAAATAATCCTAATGCAAGGGACTAATAACTATTTAAAATAGAAGTTACATTGTAGCTATAGATAGCTATTTTCGTCATTTGTTTATACTGTTCTCTCTTCCTCTTCTCCAACCCAGTCACTCATATTTGGAGAAGTTCCTAACAGAACAGATGATGGAAAGGAGGGAAGATGTATGGCTTCCATTGATTTCCTACAGAAATTCATTAGTGACAGGTGGTGAGGACGATAGGATGTCTGTGAATAGTGGAAGCAGCAGTAGCAAAACTTCTTCTGTTCGAAATAAGAAAGGTCGACCTCCACTTCATAAGAAAAGAGTTGAAGGTAAATGTGACTTTAAAAATTATGTATTGTAGTCAGAATGTAATATAACTTACTCATGACATTATTTGGTTCAAATGGTTTCTGGTTTAAGCTAATATCTCTTTTTGAACCAGTATTTCTCTTAACAACAGAGTGAAATATTATTTCATTAATGCTTTCCTCAAACAGAAATAAACAAAGCAATAGAGGTAATCCTTGACTTATGACCACGATTGATTTCCGTTGCTAAATGAGACAGTTGTTAAATGAGTTTTGCCCCATTTTATGACTTTCCTTGATACAGTTGTTAAATGAATCATTGCAGTTGTTAGCTAGTAACACGGTTGTAAAGTGAATATGGCTTCTCCATTGACTTTGCTTGTTAGAAGGTCACAAAAGGTGATCTCTTAACCCTGGGACACTTCAACCATCATAAATATGAACCATTTACCAAGCATTTGAATTTTCATCATATGACCATGGAAATGCTGCAACGGTTGTAAATGTGTCACAATTCATTTTTTTCAGTGCCGTTCTAGCTTGTAATAGTCACTAAGAAAATGGTTGTAAATCAAGGACTATAGGCAGGTTTGTGATCTTTTGCACTTAAATTATGCAGAAGATACATTAGAATATTGCCTTTCAGCATAAACTGTGCAATACAGAATATGGAAAAGGAGTAAGAAGTAAAAAATAAAATAAAATTGGAAGTGAAAAGGAAACCTAAGTACAAATAATTTACAACCAGTAACGTTTATTCTTCATTCTTTTCTAGCCTTGAAAACCACCTTTGTTTTTACCACATGCATACACAGACTCATATATTCTGTTCTTAAAACTTTTCATTTCTTTCTCTTTGAGTATTTTATAAATTCTATCCAAATATGTCTGGAATGCTTGGATTTCCCAGTTTGATCTTCATCCCTTCAACTCATGTAACCAAACTTATCTCTGTAGAATCAGGCTGCAGCATAACAAAATTGACAAAAGTGAAGTGGGTCTGAATATTTTCTGAATGCATTGTATATGTATGTGTGCAGTATATTGTATTATATGCTGCATTATATTTAATAAGCCTTCAAGCAGATTATTGTTAAGCATTTTTCCTGTTGTGATTGCATTTCATTAGTTGCTTGCTTTATTAATTAAGCAATAATAAATTACGGTTGATGTGTATATTTTACTTTAATCATTTATGGTTATATATCAGATGAGAATCTTGAAGGCACTTGGCTGAATAGAAATGACAGCATCCAGACCCCAGGTGCTCTACAGACACCTCAGCTCACATCAACAGTGTTGAGAGAAAATACTCGACAAATTGGGGAGCAAATACCAGAGCATGAGTCAGAACCTGGATCTGAACAAGATTTTTTAAACAAGTATGTACCTGTGAAATATTTTTGCAATAATAGGAAATTAATGTTAAAATACTGCTGAAATTATGATTCCAGCAAAAATATCTTATGTTTAGTAAAGTGTAATTATTCAAATGCAGTCATTCTGTGAAGTTCAGAATGTTTTAAAACGGGTCCCCAACTCCTGGTCCCCCATCTGGTAGCAAATCCAACCCATAGCCAACATCACCTTATGATATGACATTGCTTTGGAAACTGACTGTCCTGGGATTGTGTCCCGATATGTGTCCATATCCCCAGGAATTCCTGGATCATAACTACCTCATTAAATAAGTAAGCTTCTACATTTAGGCAAGAAAAACCAAATGTACAGGTATAGTATAGGGGATACCTTGCTCAATAGTAGTAACTGTGAGAGGGACCTCGGAGTCCTAGTGGACAATCACTTAAATATGAGCCAGCAGTGTGGTGCAGCTGCCAAAAAGGCCAACACAGTGCTAGGCTGCATTAACAGAGGGATAGAATCAAGCTCACGTGAAGTGTTAATACCACTTTACAATGCCTTGGTAAGGCCACACTTGGAATACTGCATCCAGTTTTGGTCACCACGATGTAAAAAAGATGTTGAGACTCTAGAAAGAGTACAGAGAAGAGCAACAAAGATGATTAGGGGACTGGAGGCTAAAGCATATAAGGAACGGCTGTTGGAATTGGGTATGTCTAGTTTAACGAAGAGAAGGACGAGGGGAGACATGATAGCAGTGTTCCAATATCTCAGGGGCTGCCACAAAGAAGAGGGAGTGAAGCTATTTTCTAAGGCACCTGAAGGCAGGACAAGAAGCAACGGATGGAAAATAATCAAGGAGAGAAGCAACCTAGAACTAAGGAGAAACTTCCTGACAGTTAGAACAATTAAGCAGTGGAACAACCTGCCTCCAGAAGTGGTGAATGCTCCAACACTGGAAGTTTTTAAGAAGAGACTGGACAGCCATTTGTCTGAAATGGTATAGGGTTTCCTGCCTGAGCAGGGGGTTGGACCAGATGACCTCCAAGGTCCCTTCCAACTATTATTATTATTATTATTATTATTATTATTATTATTATTATTATTATTATTATTATTATTATTATTATTATTATTATTATTATTATTATTATTTTCACCAAAATGTTCCCTGCTATTCAGCCAGACATTCCACACAGCCTCATTCATTAGATATATTCTAAAGTGATCCTAGTATGACCTTTATAATGCCATCCCCTTGTGTTGCCCTTCCATCAAATGCCTCCATTGAGTCCATTTTGGATGCCAGATCTATTTGAAGTTGCTAATAGTCTTAAATCAGTGTATATTTAAGAGCAGTTTATGATCAGGACAGTAACAACTACCTTCAAACAAAATATCTGTAATTTGATTTTAAAAAATGAGACAAAATCGCATATTCAGGATTTGAAAATAATGCCTCCAGTACTACATTTTCTTAGTACCCTTCCATCTCTTTTGCCAACAAATACTCTTGCAGTTGTTCTCAGCTGTTCTTTTTCAGTATCTTATGAATTGCAGTTGAAGAGGTTATCTCATAGTGCCAGCCCATAGTTTATGTTTTTACTTTAAACATAATCACCATTGCATGAAGTACTGCAGTAGAGATGTTTATAGTATACATTCTCTACCAAATGTACAGTATTTCTGTACAAGTGGAAAGGCAAGCTATTCTAAAATGCTTTCATTTTTTTCTCCTAGTTATATAGTGGTCAAAACTGATTGGAGCGCATATCCTCATTCTTCACAGTGGCCATGTCTATCCTGGTTTACTTCCATAGTAGGTCTGTCCCAACATCATTACGAGCATCTCCCAATTATTCACAATCTCTTATCAGAGCCAAAGGCAATTTTTGTTATCCAGCTCTCACCACATTCAACCTGCCTGCCAGGAAAATCTAATGGCATTGGGATAAAATAGAACACATGTTGGTTGTGATCAGGAAGCCATCCACACAGAACGCTTATAATTATACATGGAAACAGTTCTTATTTGCTGTGCTTCCTCATGTGGGATTCATATGATTTTTCATTCCTCATCTCCATAAGCATTATGAAAATCTTAATTCATCATTATCAGGACTCGAGAATAGTGCTACTTTTCATGCACCAGTTAAAGCTTTTCTGTTTTTCTGCATCCTACAGTTAAGCATTTGGAGATCCAGTGCTTTTATAGAGCTCATTTTAGTACTTTTAGTGCCAGTTAAAAAGCCCCTCAATTTTGAGTCACACCTATTTATTTGGAAGACTGTATTCCTGGGAGTCATAACTTCCAACAAGAAACCAAGAGAGAGAACTTGCAACAGTCAGATTAGAAAAAGGGATAAACTGTAAAGTCCCCTGTTCTAATGAGGAGAATTGGGTAGGAAGAGTGGTTACTATTAAAGAATTAAAGAAAACTTACTCAAATATGAAGACTATGACAAAGGATTGAGTGAATAATAAAACCTTGTCCAGAACGTATGGCATTTATAGAAAATTTCTATCCCTGGCTAAATATAACATACTCTTCGAACACAAACACTGGTTTTCTTCCAAATATTCTCTAAGTGGGTAATCAATGCAATTGTCTTATGTTGCCAGCTAGCATGTGCATTCTGATTTGAAAATATGCAGGGGCGTACTATTAAGAGGTATATATCCATTTGGGTTGCAATTCTTAATCACATTACCTGCAGGAAATCTTTCTAGCAGCAACCTGGATCATAGTAGGATGTTTATTAAATGTTATCAATAGGATATACAATCTAAAAATAATACAATTATCCCTTGCTTTCTTTATTTTATCATAATCTGAATCCACTTCCAAAGCAATAAACTTTTTATTCACTTTTATAGATGATTCACAGTGATTGTTATGAAGAAGAATTGGTTACATATCTCTAATTTCTACCTTGGAATGGTCACTTGTGAACTGCCGCCTTCAACCCCCCCTCCCCCCCATTCATGTGATTTCTTATTTGTGGAATCACTTTGGTGGTCAAAGACATGAGGAGTAAACCATGTCTTTATGTATATTGCATGGCAGCAAACATCCTGCCAAAACAGTTCCTTAAACTCTAGATTTCCCAAAAAAGATATTGCACAGGTGCAAATTCTGTATATCTGTATATTCACAGATGTATCTTGCAAAACACTATAAAGTAACCAATTCTAAGTTGACAAATTCAGGCTTGCTTAATATTTAGTGGTGATAAAAATTAGCAGATGTCAGTATTTACACTTAGCTCATTACATTACTATATCCAGTCCTGTTATCTCATACGAGCACTTACATGTGGTTCTTCTCCCTGCTTTCTCTCAGATAATTAAAACAATCATAGTGATTTGTTTAGTATAACAGATGTCAACATTATTCAGTGAGTTACAAGAGTAAGAATTTAAATATAAGATCCCTGATCCTACTCTGAAAAAATTGAATAGTTTTTCATTGAGAAGTAACATTAAAAATAATGTTAAATATTCATATTATCTTCTAAATTCACTCTTAAGTCCTCAGATGCAAATATCTTGGTTGGGTCAGCAGAAATTAGAAGATTTAAGTCGAAAGGATAGGACGGGAATGAGCTACATGAAAGGAAGAAGTGGTGTGAGACATACAGTGTAAGTATTCAATAGGAACCAGGAACACATTTAGGTATCTAATTATTTTAACAATTAGTGGATAAAAGTTACTTTAATTTGTATTGTGTGTAACCATATATATTTTGGATTTTCTATAATACTGTGATGCTGGAGCCCTCTAGCCAAAATTATGAAATTTCTGCATTTTGTGGGACAATGTATTTGTCTAAATATGATTACAAATATTGAAATATTTGTAAATATAAAGTTTAAAATATAAAAATGCAAAGTATTTATAATATAAAATATTTATTTAAAACAAAGTTTTAAAATATCAAACCAAGTGCTTAAATTGCACTGAAAATAGATTATTTTAAGTTAGGATGTGTATATAATGGGAAATGTGTTCTGAGTTCAGAACAGGACCTCCCCCCCCCCCCAAAAAAAATATCCCTTAAGTGTTTTGAATGTGAGAAAAGCGGGATTAAGAATAAGCCTTTATGGCTTCAAGAATTTGAACAATTCTTTCATTAGAAATTTGTAGCTCAAATTTCAAATCTCAAATCATGAAGCTAAATAACTAATTTCTCTAGGAATTTAGATATTATATTTAAAGGGCAAGTGAGGAAAGTTGGACTGTTTGTCGGTTTTTTATTCTTCACACAACTTTTTTGGTCCATTATTTCCTCCACAGTAAGAGGCCATTCTGGAAGAGAATAGACTGCAGGGGTAGTCAACCTTGGCTCTTTTATGACTCGTGGACTTCAACTCCCAGAATTCCTGAGCCAGCTAAGCTGGCTCAGGAATTCTGGGAATTGAAGTCCACGAGTCATAAAAGAGCCAAGGTTGACTACCCCTGGAATAGAGTATCTCATCCACTTGCCGAGCATTGGGCACTTTGTTAATTCGTTCTTCACAGTGCCAGCTGATGGCACCACTCTTGCCTCAAGAGGAGAAAGCAAAGTACTAAACTCTTTCCCTTGACTAGCAAATGCTGCCATTTATGTGGGGAATATAGTTTTGATAATGTGCTTACCTAGCTTTTAGCTGGGCAGTGCAAGAGGAGTAGGGAGCTTAAAAGTAAGCAGAAAAAGAAAGGTTCTGTTTAATGTATTTGTGTCTATAGGTAACCTTTAGTGCCACCATAATACTCTTTTGAAACTGCTTGAATGAATGAATGAATGAATGATTAATTTTAGCTATGCAAGTAGGTTTTATTTGATAACGGGGATTTGTAGTTTTTTAGGGGTCAAAAAGGGGACTGGTTTTAAAAACAAGAGGATGGGAGAGATGAGAGAATCCTTGTCTCTGTCTCGCTAATTAAATTATTATCAAACTAAAATGAACATAAAGAACAAATAAAATGGGATTGAGGCTACCAAGGCTGCCTCAGAGTCAGATAGACCCTCCAGTAGGCAGCCAAGTTATTTTAGCTAGTCACTACTACTATAGTCTAGTATAAAATCCAGTGGTCCCTCTCAGCAACTTCTTCTCCATAGCTGTTTCTCCAATAAATCCTTTTCTAACATCTTTTGCAAAGAATGGCTCCTTCTCTCCATTATGTGTTCTTTAAAGAGCCTGTTGCTTGGTTCCAAAACTCTCCTCAGATCATTCCTATTGTTGTCATGTGATTAGTTCCTTCTGCTACACTAACACTGGCAGGATAATTTTAAAAATATTATCCCATTCACAAGAGACAATTTCTAATCCTAGCTACTAAAGTGGAATGGAATATTCGAAACATGTCTAAAATAACAATATTCCAGATTATGTGTGGAATAAAACATCTGGAATATATTTGTTGTTTTAAAAAAAAAAAGCAAATTTATTTTCAGATATACATAAAAATGCAAAATAAAAAGATAATTTATCATACACAAAAATAAAATAAAAGAATTTTACACAATAAGAAAGTATATATAAAGAACAAAAAAAGCTGTAACCACAACTTTTATCTCAAATTCATCTGATATTGTAAGTCTTTAAAATAAGCTTTCAGTGTGGACAAATTTGTTCAGAATTTCTTCCAAAACAGAAAATTAATGAGACATTTTTTCATTAACCAAATATATACTTTTCTAAAGCACACATCTCTAAAATCCATTCCTTTATATCTGGAATTACAGTATTTTCCAATCTCGTAAGGATTTTTTTGCTATTGTTAGAGTATGAAAAAGTAATTTTTATTCTGAACATGTTCAAGTACTCGGTATATAATTCAATACAATATACATGTCTTTAGAAACTAGTTTTCTCAATAATTCTGTCAACATAGTGTATAACATTATTCAAAAAGGGTGTAAGGAACAAGATGATCACAATAAAATTGAGTTACAATGACCTCAAATTTCTTGCAGTGCTAACACTGCATCATTAGTCCATCCTTTAAAAATAATTCTAGATGTTTCCAATAGATACAAAAAACAATGTCTTGATGGATTAATTTCAGTTTTAAATCACAGAACATGAACTCAGCATTTTCAAAAACTTAAATTCACTGATTGAAAAGAACCAGAATTTTCAGCTCTTGATTTCAAAATTCTTCTATATTGATTATAGATGCTTTAAATTTCCCTTTAGCTTTTAACAGAAATAAGTAGGTTTGGATTCTGCTATTGAATAACATGATAGTTATTTTAGAAGCTGCTAAAGCAGGTGTGTTAAACTGGTGGCCCATGGGCCAGATTCATCACACACAGGCCCCACCCACCCTGGCTCCGCAAAAGCAAAAAACATCGCAATATGTCACGATATGTCACGTGATGTGATCGAGTTTGACACCCATGCGCTAAAATATCAGGTCCATAAAACCTGTTTTAATCAGATTTATCTCAGTTTTTTGTATTAATGGTAAAGAAAATTCTGTTTGCAGTTGCTTAAAATATTTAAAGTAATCATTAAACATGTGTTATGATCAAGCATGAGCCATCCAAAACCAGTTCTTCTTTTTGCAGAATAGTACATATTCAGAATATTTTTTATAGTCCTACTTTTAACGAAAAAACATCCTGAATACATATGAGATTTTTTAAGAACAAGAATTTATTTTGTGCTCAAGGCTGTATATAATGTTCCCACCTATTCAACAATTGTGTGAAGTGGATTGGGCTGAGAATGTGACAGGCACAAATCATCTGCTTTCATATATAAGGGGTGAATGCTTTCTAATATTGTCCTTCAGTCAATATCTACTCATATATTTAAAAGTATTCAGAAGTATAATGTTCAGGAGTTTCTCAGCAAAATAAATATGGCTGATTGAGTTTTCTATTCTCCTTTTATACATCTTCCCATGCTCAATCTTTTTCAAGGAGTTAAAATCCTTCTATAGCACATTTGAAAACCATCATAAAAGGAAGAAAAGAAAGGAATGTCCCTTTGCATAAGTAAATGAACACAGACTGGTATGTCAGTCTTTATTATTCAACTTTATTACTGATATTTTTGTATTTCTCCTGTCTCCCAACAAGGCGGGGTCTCATGGAGGATGATGCTGAGCCTATCTTTGAAGATGTAATGATGTCTTCCCGAAATCAGCTAGAGGATATGAATGAAGAATTTGAAGATACCATGGTTATTGATTTGGTCAGTAATTTTATCATTACGATTTTTTTTTTTGTTAAAAATGTGGCTACCAGTAAAACTAAACAACATTTAAGCAGTATAATCAGTAGTTCCTAGGTATCCTGCTATAAAGGAAAGTGGGTGAGAAATAATTGTTAAAATAATTATTTTTCAGTATGGGCCTGTCAACCAATATATAGATAGATATTTTTCATATTGTTACTTCAGCCTTGGAATCTCTAAAGCTTATAATAAATCATGGTTTGAATTCTTGTAACTTCTTTCATCTTTTTTAGTTTAAAATAATCTGTATAAAAGATTGGTAGAAATATAATTCATATGCCTAAACTCAACTGACAAAGACTTTCTTTACAGCCTCCTTCAAGGAACCGAAGAGAACGAGCTGAATTGAGGCCAGATTTTTTTGATTCTGCAGCTATCATTGAAGATGATTCAGTAAGCTTTTGAACAATATTATTTATGATTTAATGAATAATTTTCTATAGCCTAACTTTATTTTCCATTGTATTTTCTAGGGATTTGGAATGCCAATGTTCTAAAATCTGATGAAGACATTATACAAATTTGGAACTCTGTTCTTTAGAGCTCAAGGCCTATATACTGTGATAGCTAATATTAAAACCACATTTTGATGTGATTTGGTTTGATTTTTAACCAAATGATTAAAGTCATTTCCTTTTTGTAATGACAGAGAAGAGGAGCTTCTGAATGAAACAAATATTGGCCAATCAGTCAACTCAGAAAGGCTGACCTGCAAATCATTTATTTTCTCTGTCCTTGACAGTCCTAATACAGGTTTTTTTCTTGAATAGGGAGAAGCTTTTAAATTAAGACTATACAGTTCTACGTATGTTTTCAGAAAACATTGAATGAAAACAAAACTTTTTAACTTTATTTTTCTGCTGTACAACTTCAAAATGTTTTAACATTTGCCTTTTTATGTTTTAGAAGCTAGCCATTTTTATTAAATTTATGCCTGTCAGCCATTGACCAGCAGCGATGCTAATCAGCAAGCCATCCTGGTTGGAGAAGTGTTGTTAAACACACTGAATATGACTAGCAGTATGGTACACTTCTAGATCTTCTCTGACCATTGAGAGCGGAGCAGTCTTACAAAAGATGTTAGAAGTCAGATGTGTACATCTCTGCCAAAAAGTCAGATTCTGAAAAGAAAAAAAAACAGATTTTATACTTCTGAGAAGATTTATTTTTATTTATAATGGGGCATAAGAATAAGAGATGTCCATGAAGCCACTTTTCCAACAGATGCTGTGTAACATTCATTTTATATAGCACTAGGGGAACACACAAACAGCACATTTTCTATTGGTACTTGTTCTGTGCATTTTTAGCAACTTATACCAGCAAATAAAATATTCTCAGTAAAATAAACCAGTGGTTCTACAGTAATCTATTTGCTGTTTCTACTACCTATTTCACTCCCCATCAGACCTGAGGTACAAAAGCAGCAACTTTCTTATAAAGCATAAATCACAAAGGGAAAAAGGTGGGGGTGCGGGTGGGACATGAGCGGGACAGGACACTTACATTTTCAAAGCAATTTTAACTGTATCATAGAGAAGTATTTATCTTTCCATGCCGTAAATATCCTTTTGTGCTATTTTTGTAAATTAATTTTGCCAATTAGATTTATTGTATGTGCTGCATAGAAATTGTGTTTAGATGGTGACGTTTTAAGCTTACAATGGAATACAGCTACAGTCTCAGTGTTAACTGTGCATTAATAAGAGTAATTACTACATGATCTTTAAGCAGTTCAATCCAAAAAGTAGTAAGCTGAATCATTGTTCTAAGAAATTTTCCATGGTGTTCAGTGATCTGGTCTTTTATTCTGCTTAAATATTACAATTCTTCCTGGTAGCTGCTGGTGTAGTTAAAGGATTTTTTCTTCACTTGTTGTGAGCGTAGCTCCAGCTAATAAGAACATCTGTTAAAATGAGGCCAAACTAATAATCTCTTTTTTCCTCTTTTGGGGGGGAATTTGAATGTAAGAAACTCAGAAGCAGATCCTAACTCCTATCTGATACATCCACTGTAGAAGTGCTTTTATATAATAACTGCAAAACAACTGTAGTATTCTCTCTTTTTAAAATGTCCTTTAATGAATTTAAATTATATTTAATGCATATCTGTTGAAACTTAAAAATTTAAGATCAAATAATGCTACTTTCATTTAGCAGTTGAGACTTGTACCTCTAATATTTGTACTTCTCTCAAAATTATGATTACTAAAAACATTTGACCCACTAATTCAGCCATTCCTTTAATGTAGCTGTTTAGAAATTTTAAAGTTGCTAAAGTCACTGGGCTGGTGCTTTAGGACAAAGTGCAAGTTCTCTTGAAAAAGTGGTAAAAATTATTGCAAGTAGTCCTTCAGTTTGATGGGCAGAATCATACTGTTGTTGGTTTGAACCCAACATAGGCAAGTCTTGCGCCCCACCACCCTTCAGATGAAAAACTGAAATGTCATTGATCATTACAGAATTCTATAAAACAAAAGCTGTTTGCAAGCAAGTTACCTCCAATGGGTTTCCAATTTAGTTTTCAATCAGTAGGGTTTTTTTAAATGTGTCTCCTTGATTGGTTTTGCTAGTAATTCTGTAAATTGTACATTTACAACATGAGGGTTTTTTTTCCTTTTGTACAATTTAAAACTGATGCTTCACTTTTCCTTTAATAAACTCCTCAAAATCATATGTCCAGTAGAGTCCTTTCCACAAAAGCATTTCAAACTAGTGCTTTCTCTTCCGTTTGCCTTCCATTTTAAAAAATCTTATAGTGAAGCTTGAAAAGCTGGATTCATTGCACTTGTCATGGTTACTTATGTTACTGCATGCCCAACATTTCTAGGAAAATATAGTATTTTCTTTCTCAGTGAAAACAAAAAATGTTTATGGTCCCTCTGTATCACAGATGTGGAATTTGGGCATAGTATTTCACAGGAAGTCTTCCCATATTAAAAGCCAGATCACATAGCAACATTGTAAGAAACCTTTTTTAGGTAATAGTTAAGTAGACCATTGTTCTTCCAGGGTTTTCCATACTTATTCCATTTTTAAATTATTTGGTTCATTTTTTTCTTAGTTTTTGACCGATTGATTGACTACATTTTTATCCTGTCTTTAACTTTTGACTACCCGCAGAGTTAGATTATAATAATTATTTTCCTCTAAAGGTATTGTGGCTTGTTTATGGACTTTATGGTGCCCCAAACTGGATACAAGGTTCTTGGAGCATTCTGATGCAGAATATAGGAATGATTTTCATGCTCTTCATTATATTTTTGTTGATAGTGCCAGGGGTTGTATTTCCTTTTTTGAGGGACTGGGAGAAGAATAGCAGGAGTAGCATCACAGGGTGGTTCATGTTCAGCTGGCGATTTTCCACTACCTGTAGATATTCTTCATGCATACTGCTGCCAGGTATAATTCCTCCCAGCCCATATTTACACCTTGATTCAGCCAGCATTGTATCCAATCCCTTTTTTGTAGAGCTAATGGCCTCTATGCCATTAAAAAAAAAAAGTACCAGTTTCAATATTGTCAATTGATTTGATTTTAGAATTGTCATCTTTTTTTAAAAAAAAGGATTTTTCTATAAATAATTGTGTGTATAATTGAACAAAAGTTGCTGCTCCGTGGAGCTTTTCTGTAATGCTAATGCTACATCTTTCAAATCTTCAGGCAATGTTTTGCTCAACTTTTTATCTTCGAAAGTGGTAATTTTAACACTTGTACATTTATATGATGTGATAGTGAATTATGTATCTTTAGAAATGGCTCACCCTATATCCTGGCATAAAGACAAGGTTATCTCACAGCCACATTCTTACTTTTGTATTCTAGTTTGGACTAACATAGCCTACCATAGTTTCTGGTTTTCATGTTAGCCAGGATAGGACTATTATGCCTATCATAATAGGCATTATTGTGGACTCGGGTTACCATGTTTGTCATTAAATTGTTACTATTATTACTATTACATTGTCTTATCAACATATTCCCAGTATCACCCCAGTGCTCATGCCTAGTCCACTAGAACAACATCTATGTTGACTGCACTCATCAGGGGTATCCCCTAACCTGATACTGCAAGATTTTTGCCATTTTGTAAACTAAAACCAACTAGATGTTCAAACTAAATGCAGAGTTTAGGAATGCTGTCTTATTGTTCATGATATCTTAATTGAACTTATCCTCACTCTATTTGCTCTCCCATATTTGTGATATAGATAAATCATGATGAAAATAATAAATTGCTTACCTGTAGTACATCCATATGAACCATCAACTTTCCACCTCTAAATTTGGTTTCCTAGGACCACAGTGATAGTCCAAGAATTGAGACGTCAATGTGACCTAGCTTTTGAGGAAATTGACATTCTGGCAAAATTTTTGCAGCATTAGTTTGCATACACACAAGCCATCGTGTAGTACAGTATGAATTCATATAGTAGTTCAGTAACTAGTTACAAATAAGGAATTTCTTATTCTGTTCGTTGGTTACCCTTTTGAAAAATAAGATTCCCCATTCTTCACATGTTCAAATAAGTAGCATTTCAATGCCTATGTGAAAGTGAAATCAAGTGGAATTGTGATCTGAAGTGTGTCCAAACTCCACATTTCAAGAGCTGGTAGAAAATGAGACATTGTTTTCACTGGAGGAGCAAACCTCTGGTATTTACGATGTAACATTCACCTATTTTTATTCTGTAATTACTGTTTAGTTCTTGCCCAGTGTCCTAAAGATCTGACATTCCACTGCCGTAGTATAGGGGTTTTGCCAAAATTGTGAATTCTATGAATTTACCGAAAAAATGCTTGAATGGTAAGTACATCATACTGGTTGGAAATTCTAGTTTTGTCCATATCTGGAGGATTACCAGGTTGGAAAAGTTATTGTTGAGTAAATATTCATTGCCACTGCCAACTGTTAATTTAGAAACTTAACAAATGACAAGAGTTTAATTATGTTTTTGTCTCCAAGAGAGATAAGAAACTTAACTAGATTCTCTCCTTCATATGATATGTTCAAATTGGATTATAAAAACACTGAGTATTTAGTCAATATAATTTCAGGAAGAATTTACAGTTTAAAGGCTGAAAATGATGCTCTCAGCAATGATGAAAGGTAGATAACATTTACTGTATTTTCTGTTGAAAAAGACTGCATTTTTTTTATCACAAGCACTAAATCCAGAAGTGATACCCAAGTGGAAAAAAGAAAATATATTCTCCTCTTGAATACAATGAGCAAAGCAGACCAAGCTACAAGTTACTACAATGATAAACTAAAACTCTTTATGTTTCTCCATGAGCTTTTCTTCTTTTTTTTTTGCTCCACACTTGATTATTTTGACTTGCCTTAGCAGCCTTCTTCGTTTAACACTATAAAGAAATTCCCAAAATGGTGCAGGTCTTCAAAAAGGCCTAGCAGGCTGTGACTAAAGAGAGCCTCTTTTAACTTAACTTAGTAAAGATTAATAGTCCTTAAAGGTGATTAAGAAATGAAAAGCACAATTTACTGTCCATTTGAAAAACAAATTTCAAAATGGTGGCTTCTTCAATGACAGATTGCAGCGCCCCCCCGCCCCCCCAGCATTTGGCATGCACAGCTTCAAAGCATAGCTCTCAAGATTGCTTGCAGAGCACAGCTGTATTGGAAGGTTTTGAAGAGTAATTCTTAGACTCTCCTTGATCTAGGTGGGTCATAAAAACTAAAAGAATGCCAGTCCCTTCAGTTAGTAGTTGAAGAGCTACATCCCAGAAGAAAACCCTCCCTGAGCATATATTCAGCCGGCCATCTTCATTGGAAGTCATTCTTTGTTTTCAGTCCATGAGAAATATATTGAAACATGATGGGCAATCACTCAGATCAGTTTGGAGGAAGGAAGAATATATTTTGTTTTATCTGTTTTTAATGGTGTGTTTTAGATTATGTTTCTGCACTAACTGCCCAAAAGATTTAAAATTGTATGGATAGTGTGCTTTAATTTTATTCTAATTTTGATATAATGACAAAAAGTAATGAAAATTTCAAATTCTGTAAAAATGCAAATCAGAATAACTAGAAGTTGCTGGTTGGGAATTCTTGGCATTTTATTCCAACATATCTTGAAGTCACCAGTATAGGGAAGAGTGAATAAACAAAGCATAACAGATTTATTTTGAGAAGAAGGTATAATTATACTTTCTACGATTAATACCGTAAGTGCTGATTCAGGGCAGAAAGATGGAATATGAATTGAATAAGTATACAATTTGGACAACTAATTCAGACTTTCATGCCATTTCTACTGTCTCTGCCAATTATGCAAATCTCTTCCAGCTGATTAAAAGAGGAACAATTTGAGTTCAGAAAGGCCTTGTGAGCTCTTATAACAATTTTGTAGCAGTTCTGTCCTATTCTGTCTGTGTTCACATGTTATACTGAACCATAAATTAACCTGGCATACTTTAGCCTGGCATATTATGTGAGCCTTGAAATTTGGTTTAACTAAGCAATAGTTAGTGTATCATGAGAATATAATCTTTGATATTTTGATGAGTGAATCATAGTTGATTCAGTAAGTCTTAGTCAAGTACAAAGTTTCTAATTTTTTTGTGCTGGAGCTATAATTTTGATCTAGTTGTAATAACATTCACTACCTGCATCAGTCTGAATTATTCTGTTCTTTTAATATTGTTTTGGCATCAGTTACTGATTAATAATAGTAATAGTAATAGAGTTGGAAGATACCTTGGAGGTCTTCTAGTCCAACCCCCTGCTCGGGCAGGAAACCCTATACCATTTCAGACAAATGGCTGCCCAGTCTCTTCTTAAAAACTTCCAGTGTTGGAGCATTCACCGCTTCTGGAGGCAGTTCCACTGATGAATTGTTCTGTCAGGAAATTTCTCCTTAGTTCTAGGTTGCTTCTCTCTTTGATTAGTTTCCATCCATTGCTTCTTGTCCTGCCCTCAGGTGCTTTGGAGAATAGCTTTTACTCCCTCTCTTCTTTATGGCAACCCAAGATATTGGAACACTGCTATCATGTCAGATTAGTTTAATGCAGCTTGAATGAGATAGCTATACTGGCAGGTGGTTTAATTATCCTGTTTTCATTAAAACATCTGTGGTAAATACTAGTATTTTTTAAAATTCTGGAATACATCTTTCATCTGCATAAAATACATTTTAATAGACTTGTTGGCTTTGGGATATTGTGTTGTGTCCTCAATTAGTTGTGAGAATTCCTCATTCCTTTCTTACATGATTGTGTTTTAACTGGTTCCTAAATTACTTCTCTGATCTACAATAGCAGTGAAGACATTGATAAGATGGGGCCTTAAAAATGCCATAGTTATACACACACCTTGTCTTAATAATTCAAATTCTTTTTTTACACTGTAAAAACCTTTTAAATAGCCATAGTGAATACCCATTTGTATAGCTCTTCTCTAAAATGTTTATACTAGACATTTGCTGTAGTTCTTCTAATACTTAAAGAAGAAAACTTTGGAAAAGATTACTGTAATAATGGTCTTTATCTTTTGTGTGTGCAAAGCACTTTGCTCATTTCCTGACCATTTCCACATGTGTGAATGTGCAACAATTCTTTTTTGAACAGATTTTGTTGCCTTAAGAGATCTTCTGTTCTATCCATTCTTGAACATAATTTTAACATCTGAGATGGTGGGTTCCAGGGGTGACACACTATTTGTGAAATTGGGCCACTGAGATCTAACAAGATTGTCACTTGTGTACCAGCCTTCTTGTTATGCAGCAGCTTCCCTGTCTGAACTGCTTGATTCTGGCAAGTTTGTTAGTGGTGTTCTTCAGGCTTATGGGGAACTTTGGCCTGCCTTTGCTTTGACTGGAGTTGAGGGAGTTTATGGCAACCAAAGACCTGCCCCAAGTTGTTGTCAGCCTGATTCACAAAGAGGTCATACATGATTTGGATTTGGTAGATGTCATTAGTCTCTGTCACATAGCTCAAAGTCTTTTAGCTTTGGAGTTTTCTGTGGCTGCCCTCCTCCCCCCCAATCATTCATGGTATCTAGCTGAGGAGGTTGGAAACAAAAAGCATAGTCTAGTATTTCTCTTCCTCAAAAGTCCAGTTTCCTTTGTTGTTGAGAAGGCAATAAGAGATTCAGCCCTAGGCCTTTGTTTTGCAGGCTGCCACAAGGTTCAGCTTCTTCCTTGCTCCCATTTAACATATATAATCACTGGGTGAGGTCATCTGTTGGCATTTTTTCCATTTTTTTTCCAAAATGTTTTGCTTTCTGATAAATGTTAGGTATATATGATAGACCCCTTCAAACTGAACACAAATATAATTTCAGAATGACTGTGCCATGTAGGAATCTTGAGAAATGTGAAATTAATTTTAATGACTATAATGTATTTAATCACAATGTTATTAACATGCTGCATGAGTTCAGCAGGGCTAAGTGTTTTGCTACTAATTTTCATTTGTAATGTGTCAGATGCATCTCACTGCAGTGTCCAATAGTCAGCACTAATGGATTCCAGTTGTCCTTATACCATTTTTCTATTGTAGCAATGTCCTGCTAAAACATTTAACATTTCACCATGTTTGTCACTAACTGCACCTAAGATTTGTGGGAAAGAAGTCCCAAGTACGAATGCAGAAAATGAATCTTCAGTGATATGTTGCATTTCATGGTTTTGTATACTGTAAGAAGTTTGTCAACCATCTGAATGTATTTTGGTACTCTGTAGTTGCCAAGAAAATTCTATATTTTTGTGATTAGCATCCAAAACCTGTAAAATACATCCCAAAGTGTTCAGGGAACACAATCTTAATTGTCCAGTGTTATCAGTTATACATCTCTGTCCTCTGCCATCCTCTGTCCAGACAGCCCATCCAAGTAATGAGATTGAAGTGTTTTTCTAATGCATGGAGACTATCCAGGTTTGGATGGGAAAGAACCAGCTTTGGCTTTGTATTGGGTACACAATCTGGAGGCTGTCATGGAGGACATGTCTCCTGTTCAAGGAACAGGTTGCAGCTGACCATGAGAAACTTCACAAATATAATTTTTTTAGCTGCATCCATTCCTAGATCAGTAAGCACTGCTCACGCATACCTTAAGTTACCTCCCAATTGTACAGCTGCAACACACTGTTCATGGGACTGCCCTTAAGGTGCTCCAAAATGCAGTGGCTCCATAGTACACTCGCATAACACTGCTGTTACATGATCCACACTGGCTCCCATTAAGCCTCTGGGTGCAATTCAACGTGCCGATTTTCACCTTTAAAGTCCTATAAACATAGGCCAAGCTTGTGGACTATCTGTCCCCATTGGTTTCTACCCATTCTTCCAGATATGGCAGAGTGGGCATCTTGCAGGTCTGTGATGAAGCAGTATTGCAAGATGGGCTTACTGTCCTCAACAGGTTTCTTGAGAGCAAGAAGAAAGCAGGTTGACAGCCATAAGTGTAGGAGGCTTAAATTGGTAAGAATCCTATGTGGGTACATAAACAGTTTGAGGCTGTAAGAAATTTATAAGCTATTACCAGATAACAACAAGATAAAATTGTATATCATCTGTTGTCTCAGCTGACAACCATCTTGACCTGTTATGTATCAGATAGGATTATTCATGGAGACATCTCTGACAGCATATTCTAGAGCAGGGCTTTTCAACCTTTTCACCCATTGTACCACTTTTAGGATATGGCAACATCCGAGTACCACCAGTCGCCTAGCAAGGTGTTAAAAACTTGATGACCCCCCCCCAAAAGGGAAAAAGTGATAAGTACAGGTAGTCCTTGACTTACAACAGTTCGCTTAGTGACTGTTCTAAGTTACAATGGCACTGAAAAAAGTGCCCCCCAAGCCACAGCCGAGCAAGACACATGCCTGCCCGCCCGCCCGCCCACCCGCACTCTTCCTCCTGTCTGAGGTTTTAATTGTTGTGAGCACTTCTGTTGAGGATTGGCAGCGAGGGTGGGGTGGGGAGGTGTTTGGTTTTTATTCCCTCTGCCTGCTGGGTGGTTGCAGCAGGTTTTGATCACTTCACATGACCCTGGGACACTGTGACTGTCATAAATATGAGTCAGTTGCCAAGCATCTGAATGTAAATCACCAGACCCTGGAGATGCTGCAACATTCCAGCTGATTGGCGCTTCTTCAGGGCTCAGCAGAAGCACCAGAATCAGCGCCGAGCTACAGCTGGAGCCTGGCGCTGATCCTGGCACTTCCGCTGAGCCCTGACAGCCCCAAAGAAGTGCCAATCAGCTGGAAAGCAGCACTGATCCTGGCGCTTCCACTGAGCCCTGACAGCCCTGCAGCTCCAGTTCAGGCTTATGCGGTGCTGCCACCGGTTCAGCTCATTCCCCTCCTCTGCTACCACTTTTCTAGGATGGTCGCGTACCACCTGCCAGGTGCCAATGTACCACAGGTGGTACCCGTACCACTGGTTGAAAAGCCCTGTTCTAGAGAAGCAAAGAATCTTCAGACTTCTAAACAGAAATCTGAATTACAGACATATTTGGAGGCTTGTGTCAAGTAGCACCATATACTTTAAAAGCCTGTGTTGAGTGCAAGACTGGTGTTTTCTTTCTAATTCATATTCTGCTTTTCACAATTATTTTTTTCAATAGCCCTTAAAATAATTCCTGATATTTTGCTTAAAGTGTTATGTTTTATTTCACAATATATTTGTGTTTTAGTGAATTTGTGAATGTGTGTTCAGCCTTAATCATGTCAACTTAAATATAAGCCCTTCTAATGAACTAAAATCTTACAGAACCTCATTCTCTATACATTTTTCTCACAGAAATATCCTAAACTATTACAGGATCTGAATCAATAAATATGGCAGGTGTGCACCGATTTCCTTCCACTGATTTTAGGTTAACTTGAAGCAGTTTCAGAGTGGCATGTTGGCATGCTTTTTCCAGGGATTGGATTGTCTCTTGCTTGCCAGCACTTCCAAATCACGGCAAATACGAAATCGAGTTGTTGAAGGTTGAATAATGTCGTCTATAAATCCTGTTAACACATTTCAGAACAGTTTATTTCAGTTGCTGTTTGCTATATATGTCTACAGACTTTTGTTCGTAATCCTGCAGCGATCAATCCTTCTGAATTATGGACTAATAAATATAAAGAATATTTTTATAACAAAAAATAAGTTATTCCTCGATTATTTGGTATTCAGTGTCATAAGAATAAATAAGAAAATGTGCCTGGAATTTTAATTTTTAATATTAAAATTTAATATATTTAATTTTAATTAAATAACATGCATGCATTTCCTCCCTAAGAGTATAATTGGATAATTACTTCCTATAATTGGAAGAGAGATCATTTAAACTATTCAATTTCTTCTTTGTCCAAATCTGGAAGAGCAACACTGAAAATAGCTTTTTCTTTATACATATGTAGACCTTTTTCAAACCTCTAAGAAGGACATCATGAATCCCAATTCAATTTGGGCTGTATCATCTGTTTTACTAATAGATCCATTTAAGCAGACTACTGGAGTCAGGATTAGGCTATAACTGATGCATACTCCTAGCTAAAACCATTATTCCTTATAAGTGCATAATTGTATGGTACTTATGATCTATGAACACATTTACTAAATCAAATTTCTGAATATCCTCTAGTCATATAGGTTTTAGGAAAGCTTATTGCTCTCCATATGCTGGCTAATTTATACAGCCAAATATTGAAGCAGCATATAAACCGGAGTATTAATTACTGTTCTCCCTACCATAGCCCTTGAAGGAAGGTATAAAAAATTGCCCAATGGCTAGATTATGCCTCCGGGGAGAAGGGTCTGTTGAATACAGACTGGTCATATTACTTTTTTTTTTTTGGGACGAATAAGGTTCTACCTTACAACTCCTTACTTGACAAATACCAAGGCAATACTGACTGACTACATTCACTTGCTATTATCAGACCAGCATGGTCTGTCTATTCATTCTGATTCCATTGCCATAACGAAACTGTAACTTGTTTCTGTTAACTTGTTGAATTCTGGTCTGTGTCTTTAATAAAGCAAGTAAGAAGCATTAGTTAGAAGTTCTGATTAATTAGGCAATATCAGGAGTTCATTTGGCACATTTAAGAAAAAAGTCTGAATTCAGTGAACAGTTAGAGGTGCCCAGTATTCTCCAGAGTCAGAACTCAAAAGCACACTGCAATATCAGCATTATTCAACTTAACTACAATGTTACTTGATAATCAGCAAAACAATTTGAGATATGTATCATTCTGAAGCAGAGGTTTTTGGAACATATTTCTGCTTTCTGTATTATAAGGCCGCCACGGCAGACATAAGCTTGAGTTCAACAAAAGCACAGAAGTACATCAGAAAATGGCTCCAGTAAAGGGATTAATTTTCCCAGCCTTGTCCCAACATTCTACAGATATCTGAGCCAGGAACATTTTCATACACAGAAAGATAAATATCCTAGATTTTAGCAACATTTGGTCAAGTAATAAGCACTGCTCTTTTACACATACTGCTTCTTCATAAGTCATATAATTTACAAATGAAACCAATAGTTTACTCAAGTCAAAACCATACTGTAAAGTCTGCAGTAATTTACTTTTATAATAAAAGTTTCCTGGTCGTGATATTTGGAATCAACAAAATTAATGTTCAATTTGAAAACACTGGCCAACATTACTTTCTTGAGGAAAAACTGCTGGAGGCATGTGAGATTAATGTATTTTTAACTGCCTAGTTCAATTATTTTGATCAGATGTTTTATGGACAAAGCAACTGCTCGAGGGTTAATTTCAATTAAACTCAATCATTTTTGTTTTCAGCATGCAACAAAAGCAATCTTGTTAGGATTCTAACCCATCTGCTACGTGCTATATCTCTTCCCAATCACTATCTGAAAGATCATATAAACCTAGGCCATCGTCGCACTGATTTCTAACACTGTTGCATCATATACATGGAAAAGGGAGTAGATACCTAACATCCTATGACACATGGAATAATTCTAATATAGGTCAATCCCAGAATGAAATATTGCTGGTAGTTAAGTTCCCTGGGATTTCTGCATCCAGCTATAATATTCAAAGGATTATTATTAAGAAAGGAGAAGCCATCACAAGCCTTCAATAGAGGATTGTCAAATGATAAATGTTAAGCTAAGAAAAGGTAGTTAAAAAGCAGCCATTATAAGAATCAGATCTTGTTCACTAAAAAAAAAGATGGTTAATAACTTTGAATGCAAAATGAACTTCAAAATTTTCAGTAAAATTCTTAAAAATACATACCTCTGATTGCAGCGGGAAATGGATTTGCAAACTTTTCTATATATTCTGCTTCTGCATGTTCCCCCTTCCCTCTAAAAATGATCTGGACAGCTCCCTAAGGTAACACACAATAATATAAAATTACTAAAATTCAACTTTTTGAAGTCTTCAGTCCCACATGCAAAGTAGAAAGCGAAGGGAGACAATTGATGCAATAGAAATTGCTATAAGACTTCCAGAAAACATATCTACCTTAGCACCCATTACTGCTACCTCTGCTGTTGGCCAAGCATAATTTGCATCTCCTCGTAGATGCTTTGAACTCATGACATCATAGGCCCCACCATAAGCCTAGAACAAGAAATAGGTTAATAGTCACAAACTGCTATGATTTAACCCTTATATTTTATGCCTGGTACAAATATATAAAACAGATTCTTTTGAACACACACACATAAATAATATGACACTATTTCCACTAATATCTATTCAAATATTGCTTATCCTTCTAAGGTCGATAAAATGAGGACGCAGATTGTTGGGGGCAATATGCTGATTCTGTAAACTGCTTAGAGAGGGCTGTAAAGCACTGTAAAGCAGTATATAAGCCTAAGTGCTATTGCTAGTGTTATGTTAATTTCTCTTATTTACCCCATTTTTCTGAAATGCATTCATCTTTCATTCCTGTATTCATAAAGGAGAAATTTCATGTACAAGGTACTGATACATTTGACATATTGTAGTTATGAAGCAAGGAAGCACTATACAGAACAATATTGAGAACAATGACTACATTAGTCACAAAATAAGTCAATATTTAGTAGGTTTAAGATTATAACTAAGATCCTGTTGCATGAAACCCATGAATTCTAATTAGGAAGCACAGTTTTGTATTCCAATCTGACATAACAGAGCCTTGAAATTACAGAAACTTGGTGGGATAAAACCCACAAATGGAACACACAGCTAGAGGGATTTAAATTATTTAAAAGAAACAGACCAAATAAAAGAGGAGGTGGAGTTGCTCTCTATATAAGAAATAACTACTACAGAAATAGAGCACAACAATGATGAAAACTGTCTTGAATGCATTTGGGTCAATATAAAAGGGGGGGAATGACATTGCCATAGGTCTATACAATAGGCCACCCAACCAAACAGAGGTAATAGATGAACTTTTTGCTAGTCAGTTAACTAAGGTATGTAAGAAGCACATCACAATAGTAATGGGGGACTTTAATTACCCTGACATCAACTGGGAGACAAACTCTGCACCAAGTGGAAGATCAAACAGATTCCTAACAAACATAGCAGACAACTTTGTCTCCCAAAAAGTAGAGAAGGGAACTAGGGGATCAGCCATATTGGACTTAATTCTCACTAACAGAGATGAAACGATAGAAGGTGTTGAAACCACAGGAACCTTGGGGGGAGTGATCATGCAATATTGGAATGCAACATTATGCAATAGGGCAGGCATGTCAAACTGCCAATCCACGGGCCGGATGCATCATACTGAAACCATGCCCACCTCATTGCCGGCAATGGGGGAAAAGTTGCGATACGTCACGCGACATCACGTGACGTCGCGAGTTTGACATGCCTGGTATAGGGTTTCCTGCCTGAGCAGGGGGTTGGGCTAGATGACCTCCAAAGTCCTTTCCAACTTTATTATTATTATTATTATTATTATTATTATTATTATTATTATTATTAATAATAATAAATAGAAAGGCCACAAGGAACATTTTTTTCTAATGCTCTAATGTTTTTGAGATAGATTAAGTACTTTATTACGATAGAATATATATAATGGTTTCTGCACATGGCAGATATGAATAAGTAAATACTGGTTTTACAGTTAAACATTTTCGTAGATTTTTTCAATCTTCAGTTCCTTGCAGCTTATATACCTGAGTCAGCTTTTTATTTGTTCTTATTTTTACCAGTGTAACATTAGAATTTAAATGAATGTTTTCAACAACTATCGGGCACTTCTCAGTTTATTCATCTCTGATCTCTCTCTTCCTACCACAAAAGTTCCTAAATAGCCTTTTGTAAGATCTTAACTTTTCTGTCATACTTCAAGAAATTATCTGTTCATTCATAAGTTCTTATTCCCCATAAAGGCCTAGTATACTGTCTTGGAGATGGACCATAGTGTCAGGTGAAGGAACTGAAGTACCTGCAGATTTGAGAATGTGCAGTGAGGGAGTGACTATTCCAGATCCTGCCTAAGGGGTCACCTCTAGAATGTTCTAATAAAGCTCTATTGGGCACAACAATAATATATGCAAGTAGACAGATGACCAAAGAACAATCTGCCCTAATTATGTTAATATATTCTCACAAAGATGCAGCAGATAGCAATAAATAAAATACATCTTTAAATCACATTTTATTGGATGCTTTTAATATTTGTACCACTCAACCTTGTAGTGAGCTGGGCGATCAAATACATAAATAACCTACCTTCCTCGTGATAACAGTGATTTTTGGCACAGTTGCTTCTGCAAAAGCAAAAAGCAACTTTGCACCATGACGTATAATTCCCCCATATTCCTGAGCAGTCCCTAGAAACAACAGGAGTTGAAGTCACAGCTATTATTCAACTTACTATAACATAAATGGAATGCATAATTTGCATTTCTACACTTTTACACAAGATTAACAGATCTACACTCAACAGGTAAGTTTTTTGCGCAGCTCTTTTAATCTAGGATTCAACAATGACATGTTTTTTCAATACACATTATTGTTATTAAAATTCTGGGCTGAGCGACCTGCTTCCCTCCTAAATTAATTTTTGCAGCTTTATTATTTCAGTCTCCTACTTCTTTGAATTAGAAAACACGCAAAATTAACATAACTCTAAAATTGGTTAATATAGTAAAATATTCTACCAGAAATTCTTAGTGTTGCTGGTTACAATATAGATTAGGATTCTGATGAAGAACTGGATGAGACACAAAAATAAAAGCAATTAGCAAGTCTTTATTAAATAATTCTGGATGTTTACATAAGAGAGTTCCTCCCTGCACACTGATGTAAGTATCCAGAATTATTTTAAGAGCTTTCTTAATTGTTTTTATTCTGGTCTTTTTTTCCATTCCGTCTCCAGTATCCAAACTTCCAGCAGCTACAGTCAGCAACATTTAACCTTAGCTATGTGCATGGCTTTGTCCCACCCACATTGGTCCTTCTCCATGTCCACTGGGGCCTTTTCCTCTGCCAAAATTGATTAAATAAAGGCCCTTGTCACTTAACCTCCCCTGACAAAAATACCTATTTCCACTGCCTCATAAAAAAGATGGAACCATGGAGTCCAGTCTCTATTCTTCTGCCTTAGTGGAAACATGCCAATAATAAAATGAAAAGTTATATACCGGTGCTCATTCTTTACTAGTTTATAAAGTTAGAACAGAATTCTGCATATAAGGCCTTCATAAAATACAGTACACAGATAATCTCTGACATATAATTATTAAATTAATTCTTTCCTTATGGAATAATGAGAAATGGCAGTTCAGAAGAATGAAGAGGCAAATCCTTTTGTATTATGAATGTAGAAAATTTCACATTGCTCCAACAAAGAATAAATATGCTTCTTATAATTTTTAAAATATAAAATACTTATCTCTGCAATTACAAGAAAAGGTAAATCTATTTCTTAAATGCAACACTCTTTCAATTAAATCGATTAGATAACAAGGGGGATGCAGAACAACGTACCTGGTAAAAATCCAGGCACATCTACAAATGTGATTAGAGGAATGTTGAAAGCATCACAGAAGCGAACAAAACGGGCTCCTTTCACAGAAGAATTTATATCCAAGCAGCCTAATTTTTAAAAAAGAAGGGAAATATTGTAAAATATAATTTCAGAGTATTTTAAAAATGCCATGTCAGTGATCCTGGCACAAAATTGTCTGTTGTTTACAAAAATGCTTAAGCAATGGAGCCTAGTGAGTAGCATACACATTTTTACCAACAACTATTTGAATAAACAAACTTCTACATCCAGCCTGTTAAATTTTAGGTGTATAATATGTAAACAAATATTCTCTATTACAGTAGCAAACACTAAGTAGTACTAATCTTTTATCCAGGAATTTTAATTATACATACATTTATTCAAATTTGCTATAGCTGCCCAACTTCAATGGACTCAGTATTATCAATGCTGAATATCAATATTTCCTGCTATCAGATATTATATCAGCTTTCTGGCTCTAGTACAGGTTATAAGTTGTTTATTCATATATTTTGTTGGCAGTTTTAGCCATTATTATGTATTCAGATGAAATGATTGAAATGTTGACCCTAATATAATTGGAGGGTAGTCCTATGATTCATTTCCAAATAATTAGGTTTATCAGTGTTTGGGTTCTGAACACACATTCTTTGCTATCAAAGTTAAACCAATAAAATATATTTGGCAGAAGAAACAGCTAGCTATTACTATTTATAGTGTATGAATAAAATAATTTATTAGGAAACTCAAAGGTTCTAAAGTGTATCTTTGTACCAAAGTGTCACTATTTGTCTGCTTCAGTTTAATTAATATATTGGTAGTTCTCACTTAACATCTGCTTTTTTAGCGATTTTCACAATTACAACAGTAATGAAAAAGTAACTTTAGGACTAATACTCGCATTTACAACCGTCACAAGCAAAGGAAAGCTAGAGTAAGGTCGTAAGTACAGTTGCTATTTCACTGAATGAAGACTACCTATAGTTCAATATTATATTAATATAAATGTCAAATGTCAAGAGTATTTAGAAAAGATCATTACATGAAGATATAAAGCAATTTCTGTACATGAAATGCAAAACAATCATATGGAAAATATTAAACCAACCATGAGCTATGGCAAAAAAAAAACAACCTTGGGGAAGGATTATTTTAAGGATAATTTGTGTTAGAAGAAATTCAAGACACCTAAAACACAACTATGAAAATCTGATAGAAGTTAACATTATCAATTTTTTAAAAAGACCTGGTTAAAGATCGTCTTCACTCCTTTCCTATATGAAGAAAGAATAGGTGCTGAGCACAAGTCCCAAGATATTTTGGGAGTAATTTCCTATCCAGCTTGCAGAAATTGAAGTTTTCTAACTTCATTTCTTAGAAATACAGAGCTGCCAGGATCATACCTGAAGCTACTTTAGGCTGGTTACCAACTATTCCAACAGTTCTTCCATTCATTCTAGCAAATCCAACAATCAGATTTCTGGCATAGGAAGGCATGATTTCAAAGAATTCCCTCTCATCAACAATCTGCATAAATTAGATTCAAATATTCAGCAAAATAATGAAATGTGTTCTTACAGATATCAGAACCAAGGAAAAAGATTATAAGAAATAAGATTTTAAAAATATTTTTCAACAGTTCTCAGTGTTTTTCTACACATTACTACAAGCAAACCTTTATAAAACCAATCCTTAAATTTCTGACAGATGTTACTTTGATAATTATTTCATAATGTATTTAATCATCTCTATTTTTAAATATTTCTAGCAATTTAAAATTCCTGTAACTTTTATAACACTGAAAAACATAGCAGTGGGTTAAATTACCTTGTTCCTCCATACTAACAGAGTTCTATTGAAAGGTATGGTGATTAAGTGTTATCAAAATAGTGTCAGCACTTAGCAACTGCTAATTTGTCTTCAACTAGTCTTTTAGATCTTCCACTATGATTGAGTTCATTCACCTTACTGCTGGTGATCCTTTTTTCCTTTTCTTTCCACCTTCCCCAGTATTATAGACTTCTCAAGAGAGCTAAGTCTTCAAATAATGTGTCCAAAATGCAATAATTTGATCCTTGTGACTTGCAACCTTGAGAACTCTGGACTGATTTTTCTAGGATCCATTTGTTTGCTTTCTTGACCATTCCATGATATTCTCAAGTCTTCTCCATCACCAAATTTCATGATTTTGTGAGAGAGTATTCAAGGAACAAAAGTGAGCTTTAGCAAATCTGAATAGGAAGCAGAGGAAAAAATGGGGGAATTGTACAATTGTTAAATTTAAATGTTGTGGCGATCATTATGCTTCCATTTTTTATACCCAAGTAATGCTTTAAGTATATAGGGAAATTACTCAGCTAGAAATATGTCATCTATAGCCCACATTTCTTGGAGAAATAAAATATCAATAGTGCTAATATATTCCAAAATGGACACAGCTAAATTCTTTATTTTACAGCCAGGATTATTGCAAGAAAGAATGGATACTGAATCATTATCTTAGAACAGTGATGGCGAACCTTTTAGAGACCGAGTTGCCCAAACTGCAACCCAAAACCCACTTATGCATCGTCGGGTGCCGGGTGGGTGTGGCCCATTGGCTGGGTGTGGCCAATTGGGGGTGTGTGGCCCATTGGGTGGGCGTGGCTGCGGTGGTAACGGCAGACTGGGTGGGACTACAAAGTTCAAACAATCAATTCCAACTTTGCAAGATCTTTTTTTTTCCCGGGAGAAGTTGAAATTGACTGATTGATTGAACCTTTTTTTTTTGTACCCGGCAGCGGAGGCCTAAAGCGAAAAGGTTTTATAAAACCCAGCTGAAGGCCTAGGACTGGGGCGACAGCGCGCGTGCCCACAGAGAGGGTTCTGAGTGCCGCCTCTGGCACCCGTGCCATAGGTTCGCCACCACTGTCTTAGAAGATACAGATGGTACCCAGTACTCCAACTAGGTAATCAGGCCTTGGGGTCTCAGGGAACTGGAGACATTCTTACATGGCTCCATTTTAGGAGATATTTATACTCTCTATGTAATTTGTATAGTTCGGTTTTTAGTAGTTTTATTTTTAATGATGATTTTTAAAATATTTTATAATGATTTATATATTTATTGATTTTCTTGAGTGCTGTATGTCATCCACTTTTTGTGAGCTTCGGAATCCCATATAAGAAATAAACTAATAATCTGATCTGGTTAAATCTCTGGGATCCCCAATTATGGAAGGTAATGCTACATCAGGAATTTCCTTTGTAGCAACAGAGACCTGAAAGAAGCATGAGCTTACAAATGGAACTGCCTCAATTATTGTAGAGTTTGATGCCCTTTGAAATTGGAAAGTAGCCCAATTTATTTCTATAGGAGCATCCAAAATTGAAGAATAAGGTGGGTGGGTCCAACAAGATTGAAGACATTCCATAACATGGATTATTGAAATATAAAAAGATCTATCTCTTCAGCATCATCACAAAGGAAAAAAAGTTTCAGTCTCTTAACCATCTGGTAAAGCCCAATTTGCTCCATTCAACTCATCTCACGAGAAAAGATGTCATAAAGTTTTAGGTGATACAAGGTCAAAGCAGCTCAGTTGTGGCAACAACTGCTAGCAAAGTTCCCATAAATCTATATAGCTTTTGTAAAATAATCTGTTCCTCACACCTGGGCAGAGATCCAAAGACACTGATAAATAAATTTCACTGGTATCAAACTTGCCATTCTACATATCAGTTGGTTGATATAAGGACCTGGCTCAGTCAAGGACACTTAAGGAGAGAAGGCAGTGATGTTAGCAACAGGCTTATTATTTGGATGTTTATGCAGTCCAGAAGTAACAATTAAACAAAGGGGAATAACTTCAAAGAGGGCAAATTCTGAGATACAGTTGACTGACTGTAAGTCAGTGATGGCGAACCTTTTAGAGACTGAGTGTCCAAACTGCAACCCAAAACCCACTTATGCATTGTCGAGTGCCGGGTGGGTGTGGCCCATTGGGTGGGCATGGCTGCGGTGGTAACGGCAGACTGGGTGGGACTAAAAAATTCAATCAATCAATTCCAACTTTGCAAGATCTTTTTTTTTCCCACAAGAAGTTGAAATTGACTGAACCTTTTTTATTTTGCACATGGCGGCGGAGGCCTAAAGCAAAAACGTTTTATAAAACCCAGCTGAAGGCCTAGGACTGGGGTGACGGCGCGCATGCCCACAGAGAGGGTTCTGAGTGCCGCCTCTGGCACCCGTGCCATAGGTTCGCCACCACTGCTGTAAGTCAACAATATCCGCTTACTGCCAGGCAAGCTTGGGAACCAGTCTATGCTGTGTCAGGCAGTGTTTTTAAATTTCTCTGCAATCAGCATTAAAGGATGATTCCTAGTCTAAGTGTTCTAGGAGAGAAATGAAAAGTTCTCCCATCCCTTTCTCAATAACCATGCCTCAAGCATGTTCTCTTCAGTTACATTTACGTAAAAAGTTTTAATTTTTAAAAAATGTTGAAGAAAGTTCAACAAGCAGATTCCACCCCTTAAAAGGGGTATGTTCATTTAATGTGTTATTTAAATACTATGGAATTTACTAAATCTTCATATAGCAATTCTATATATTATACATGCAGTAAAATCAAGACAGAAGCGTAACTTATTGATATCTCATAGTAATTATCAGATATAATTTATACTACCAGATCATTTGAAAAGACAAAAAAAAACACCATATTCCTTTTCCAGACTACTGTCACATTATGGGGCACAAATCTTACCGCATGTACAATATCCAACATGTCATAAGCTTTGGTTGATTCCATTGGGACAATTGTATCCAACTCATGTACCAAGCGATTACTTTAAAAAATGGAATGAAAAGCAAGACATTTACAATATACCATAAAAAAGTATTCCCGTAATTCGTAAGTATAATCAAGGACAATTTCAATAAATTTAATCATATTGATTCAGACAAGAGGATGAAGTAAATATGCATCTATCACTCTACAAAACTGAATGTGGAATATTAATTAGTATACTCATCCTCCCAATATTACTGAGAATCTGGGCATTTATATTTACAACCATTATCTATCAATTAATAGCTCTCCAACAAAATTAACTAAAAAACCAACTACTTATCAACAAAAGCCGAGAATTAAGAGGAAAAAAGAAAGTAGATAGGCACATCATATCAGCAACAATGTGATAGACCGTACTATTCTATTGCTGTAAAAATAAGAATTTGAGTTTTTACTTTTTAGCTTTATGGCCAGCATCCCTCTAGAACAGTTCCTACAATATCTGGCAGTCATCCATCTCACCACTCAAGACAATGGCGCTACCGAAGAATGTCACTCTCAAAATGAATAAAGAAACAAACCTTCTCTGAGCGTCAGAATATTTTTGCTTATGCAAAATGTACTTACTTACCTAGAGTCATGGCATTCTCTGACAGGAGCTGGCTCCTTGTTACTAAGTGGCAGGAAATTAAAGAATTCCCTAAGGTTGAGCAACGCATCTATGTCATTTTCAAAAGCACAATGTGCAACCCCTGTAACAAAGAAAAAGAACAAAAGTAAATTTAAATTGCAAAAAATATATTACAATACTGTTTTTAAAATACCTGCACTGACCAAAGAGCAATGTGCTACCAAAATTAATTAATCGGAAAAATGATTTGACAAATTACTTCAAAGGTTCTTCAATTGCTCCAAAAAATATTTTGAATATGTTTTTCTAGAATTTCAGCCAAATGACTTTTGCCAGAGTCTAGAGGGCAGGGGTTGGATGTTGTAGCATTAACTGCATTATAAATGGATGCTATTATTGCCTGAAAGGATACCCTGAAGAATATTCTAAATGCCTCAAATGGTTTCTCCAACACAGAGAAAAAACATTTTCCTATGCTTTGAATTCTTCAATTTTAATTTCTCTCTGTTCATAAAGAACAAAAATGAAAAGAAGCTTTAATAATATTTATCGTTATTGAATAACAGGAATCCTCTCCCTCCTGGAAAAAGGGAAATTTGAGAATTATTTTTTAAGTAGTAAAAGATACCATTCAGATATGAGATAAATAGCTAAAATATTACGAATGCAGCCATTGTACATAGAAAAAAGTGGACTTCCCCTCCATATAAGGCTGCAATTCATGAATACATAATGAAAGCAAAATTCATACAGTGGCCCAAATAAAAAAAATAAGCAAGCATTCAGAAGAATCTTCATTTAGTCTTAGTTTATCCTGAATAAATTTATTTTTCCAGAACTCATGCATTGAGAATTTAATTCTAGCCTTTATAATTTCATAACATTACAGAATTAGCAATGGTAAATAAATTAGCCAGTTCTAACCTGATACTGCAGTATGCGTCTTCGCACCCCCAAGTTGTTCCTGAGTTACATCTTCATTGGTCACTGATTTGACTACATCAGGACCAGTTATAAATAGATAGGATGTATTCTAGAAAAAAACAAGTATAAAAGAATGAGGTACAAAATCCAATATTCCAAGTATCTAGAAAAAGGAAAATTTATTGGAAAAAATAATGTGTATTCAAATAATACATCATTTTACATTATCTCTAATTCAACAAATATTTCTCAAAATATTTGAAATGAAAAAGTATAAAACAAATTTTAAGTAAGATATGTTACTTCTGAATGCTTCCTATCTGAACATCCTTCCCATGTTTAAGATGGGACCAGAACTCATAGTCTTCTGTTTCTAGTTTTCCTTGATTTTAAAATATAAAAAGCCAAGCTTGTTTCATTTTAAAGTTCTCCTATTCATTCATATTCAGCAAGATTTGCCTAAAAGTCTCCATCAGCCAATTTGAACCACAGAATCCTGATTATATCGGTTAAGAATCAAGCTTCAATATGTTTGCTGAAGCTCATGGCTTAATATGTTTTAGAATATAGCTAATGACAATAAACATTGCATCCTTACCTTTACCATAAATGTGAAATCTGTTAAAGCAGGAGAGTAGACAGCACCTCCTGCACAAGGACCCATAATAAGAGAAATCTGTGGCACTACTCCAGAACATAAAACATTTCTCTGTAAAAGAAAAGAAATCATCCTTTATATCTTCATGTTACAAAGTTTCCAACCATATTTTATATTTGCCAACCATCTTTCTGAAATTCATATTGATTAGATTTTTAACATTTTTACAATAAACAAGTAGAGATAAAAGAGTGAGCATAAAGGAAGACTAATTCTATAGAAAGAAAATAAACCAGATCTAGCTGGTCTTTTTGTTCCAATCACTAAGCATGATCATAAATTCTCATCCCTTATTTTAAGAATCCACATTTAATGGTCAATTCATGTAGCTGCCACTCAACAAGCTTCTACATATCCTGACTGCTTCATGCATAACAGCTGCTACATCTGACAGCTGCTATAGACAGATGCAAATGAAAAGCCTTGTAGTTTTTCTGCCCTTTTGCCTCCGGATAGTTTTCCCAGCAAGGAGAAGAATGGATCTGTCACTGATATTTGATTTAGTTATTCATTCTTTTTTCTTTTGGCCTGGCTTATATGTGAATGATGATGGCTATAGCCATTTCCTTCTTGCTGGGCACATAATTATAAGGAGAATACAAATAAAAGGAAACAGTGAAAATGTATTAAGTATCAATCCATATTCACCAAATATTGACCAAAGAGCTAAAACTAGAAAAAATTAAATGTTTATAAATATTGTTCATCAGACAGAATATAACAAAGAGGAAGTTAGAAACTAAATATTTTCCTATTTTTATAGTTTTTCTACTTTCTACTTTTTTGAATTGTTAAATAATAAAACATTGGCACTCAACCCAGAGATTCAAAAATCCTTTTTCTTATTGTAAAAATAATTTAATGGACCCTGCATTACAGTTAATTTTCCATCAACAATATATTGAGCACTAACTGTATAATTTCAATAATTTCTTTGTCCACTTGATACTGTATTTCTATATTATTTTTTTCCTTTGCTTGTATTCTTTTTGTCTTTTAAAAATGATAAAGAAAAAATAAATGTAAAAATATTCTCACATATAAATAAAATGTCGATGAAGGGGGAGGGATTTTTTTTAACAGTATTAGCAAAAACAACTGAATAGCACCAAGAATACTTTATAACTTTCTCTAGATCAGGGGTATCAAAACGGCGGCCCATGGGCCGGATGCGTCATGCTGAAACCGCGCCCACCCCATTGCCAGCAATGGAAAAAAAGCCACGATACGTCGCGACACATCACGTGATGTTGCGAGTTTGACACCCCTGCTCTAGATGACTGCTTAAGTAACATATTTATTTCAGGAGACCTCTTTTGTCACTTCTAACAATGCCACTTGGAAACTTTGTAACATAAAGATAGGCAACCTGAAGCCTGCAGATGTTTTGAACCACCATGAGTGCCAAGTGCTACAGGCAACAGTAAATTATTATGGGGATTGTAGTACAAAACATCTGGAAGACATTAAGCTGCTTACCTCTCCCTAACAGTAAATCACGAAGGGAAAGAAGATATACATCTTGTCCCTGGATCATGACATCAATCCCTCTTCTTTGCATAAAGCCTGAAAACAGCAGGAAAGAAAAGAGATAATCAATCACGCTTCCTTTAAATGCCTTTTTTCTGAATATTTAAAATGATTACTAAACTACAAGGTGAAATTACTATACATATCATGATTTGTTGGGCCATCACATATTTAACTGAAATATTTCTCACTAAAAATATGTCAGCATAACCAGCCAAGGATTCCACTCCTTCTTGAATACGGGCTCCTCCTGAATCATTCAGCCCAATAACAGGAGCACCAATCATAACAGCCTGATCCATAATCTAGGAAAACAGAAGCACATGAGTTTGTACAATATCATTACAGACAATGTAGATAAGTCATCCACATGGCTTACCTAATTAGGCAAACTTTGTGTAAAATAACCTTTTTGTTTATAATCAGAATCTAACTTGAGTCTCTCTTTACTATTAACTACTGATTTGTCCATCTTTCATGAGCACCTGGCATCAGTAGTATTATTACTTCATATCCCAGCTCTAGTAATGCAAGGCAATATACCCAGAAATCTATCTCAGATTATCCTTACAACAACAATCCTGTAAAATAGGCTACACTGAGAGATAGTGACTTGCTTTCTCAAAGTCATTCAGTGAACTTCATGGTTGAACATGAACTTGTCCAACTTCTAAATTACTAAACTGCTACTGCATCTATGTTGCCAAGAATATTATGTGGATATATTCAAGCTTGAATCAAAAGAAATGTATACTTTCTAGCAATCAAGTCTGTCATAATTAATATATATTAAGTAATATTAGAAATAAACATATCTATGATTCATTATTACAGGAATTTTTTTTCTTCAATCTTACTCTCTACTGAGTTTATAAGAAAAAATCATTTTAACAACATATTTGATCTAGTACATCTGAGTTCAGCAACTTACTCCACTTATCTTAAACAATGACGCAAGCAGCAAACCCCACCACCACAAAAACTACAAAAAATTGTGCTCTGATACTAATTTTAACAAATTTAAACATTTATTTTACCAAGGATGGGACAGAAATAACTCTAGAGATGATTTCCCCATGTAAAACCGAACTGCTAAATTTGGATGCAACCCAGAAAAGGCGTTATATCAACCCAACTAATTCAATAGCAATATTTTTGCATTGCATTTTAATGTTATGTTTTGCTAAGCTATTAATAAGCACTAAATTGTATAGTAAAATAAAAGGTCACAGGATCACAACCATACATAAATTTTTTTCAAACCTTTTAAAAAAACCAAAAGGTCTTTGATTCATGTCTCCCACCCAATAAAAGAACTGCTCAGCAAACATCCCATAAGTTTTAACAGCTGAATTACTGTAATCTGGGAAGGATGACCAAAAATATTTACATAACCATATTAGAATGCTTATATAAACTATATAGCAACTGATTTAGATCTCTGACAGGCCACCTGCACTGCCTATAAACTTACCTTGCAGATCTTTTGAGCATGTGCTCCAGATAAACTTCCCCCAAACACAGTAAAGTCCTAAAAATTTAAGATCAAAGTAAAATGTTTTAAAATACAAATATCAAAATAGCCTATCATGTAAATATGTTTAGACAGAAGAAACATGCTAATTCCATTAGACAGAGCTAGATCACACCCAAAATAGTATGAAATTATAAGGTTATTCCTTCTTATAGCATTCTACATAAGATGTGGGAGCAAAAGCAGTACATCTGGTGCAAAAACAATACTTTACAAAAACAATACTTCAATATATTCATAATTCAGAAATCAAACAATACCTGACTGAAGACATAAGTCAGTCTGCCATTAATTCTACCCTGTCCAGTAATCACACTGTCCCCAGGATACTGCAAAACAAAACAATTAAAGTATAATTCATAAACTTATGACTTATATAAACCAAAGTAAGCAACTGCACAATGTATATATTACACCTTGATGCTTTAACAGTTCTATTTATGAAGTGAGTAAAACAGAATGTTTATTGGCTGGAGAAAATTATTCTTCTAAATATCTCTCATTAAGACTATGAAATATCTAGAGAATTATTTCAAATGCATAGAAAGGAGATAGCTCCATTTGTAAACAGATTAAAATCAGGGCACTAAATCAGCCATTGTTTCCCACTCACCAAGAGTCATGGAATTTAAACAAACAAACAAACAAAATGTTCAATACCTTGTTTTTCTCAATTTCCATCCCAAAATCTGAACATCTGTGTTCCACAAACATGTCATATTCTACAAAACTGTCAGAGTCCAATAACAATAGTATACGTTCTCTGGCTGTCAACTTTCCCTAAAAAGAAAAAGAAAAAACACTAAACAGCCTTGTTCTTAACATAATAGCATATTTATATAAATGTTTTCCAGATTGAAACTCGGAGCTAAGGATAGTAAAAAATATGCACTCAATAGTGGCCCCCAATTTGTTCTATAAAATACATGATAGATCTTTTCTCCCATAATGCAATAGAATGGTTAAGTACAAAAAGGCAGCCACAATAAGAAATTTCACTCATTTTAAGGCTGTAAAGCGCTATGAAGCGGTACATACGTCTAAGTGCTATTGCTATATTACATAATGCATTATGTGACAGACTAAATATAAGAAATACAGAGAAAGAATGTGTGCAAAGTATTTTAATTTGTTCTTCTGCTGATCCACCATGATATACTAGATACATGGCAAACCACTCGCTGCCCTCCATATTGGTTAATATCCAGTCAGCCAACTCATATAGTTTCTTTAAATATGCTGGAAGAAAATACATGGTCCAATCAAAGTTGAAATTAATGCAAAGATTATACCTTCACACCCTCCTATCCTCTTCCAAGCTCCATGTTACAGTGGATGGTGGCACCTAACCAAGTTTGACTGATCTTGAAAATCTAAACAGGGTTGAATTGGGATGGCAATCCATCAAGAAATCCCAGAGTTATAGGCCTGAATTAAAAGGTTTAAAGAAGCATCCCAGAAGGTGGAATACGAAACCAGTTTGTTATTGCCAAGATATAACATTGATGTGTCTGTGTAGTCTCTTAAAGTTAAAAGTAATTCAAAGTTGACTTAATGTTTCTGAACAATTAAAAAAAAAGATCCAGCACAGTAGAGGTGTTGTACCAGGAATAGCAATTATTGGCAACATCCTAGGGTCCTTTGCCATATCTTGCAGATAGTCACTTCCTTTTTGTTTCCCTTTTCTCAGGAAAGAACATTTTTTTGAAATCAATATTTGGCCTTCTCTGCATTGGAAACACTGGACAGAGCGCTAATTTGCAAAACCGAGTTGCCCCATTCATTATTTCTCAAAGGCAGAAATGCATGGTGGCATTCTCTAATCATCCCCAATTCACTAAAAAGGCAACTTCCACCTGTCTTTTCCTGCTACACAGTTTGTACCTCCTCAAGATTGCTGTGCTTTTTATACCTTGTATTTCATTTCTCTGTAGGCAAGCACCTCCACTCCAACTGGCTACTGCATGCTATAGTAGGAATGTCTCCTCCCCTCCAATCACGGGTTAGTGCCTTTCACGACAAATTTTTCACAGGCTGCTGTGCCCTTCTGAAGAGACCTTGATTAGAGACGTGATTTCTTTTTCTTCACATAATAGGGTGGAGTGGTTAAATAGTGAGCTTTCTCCCCTTCATCTTTGCTCCCACTTATATTTTGTTATTTTCAGTCCCACCAGCTAATTATTAGTTTGGTAGAAAAAGAATCAAAGTCTGTCAGAATGAAAGGGCAGGTTTATTTATTACATGTTCACTGATGGAACAGTGAAATCAAGTTTTTTTTCTTTTAACCAGGTGAAACTAATACAAATTTTGCTTTTTCCTTTCTGGTTAAAATGACAACAGTACAATTATTGGGTATTTTTTTTTTTTACCTACCAGTGGATGCATTAGACAGAAAGATGTGAACCCACAACAGCAAATAAGAAGAGCTCATACAAAGAACCTCCCGCACAAAGAAAAGCAATTGGTGTTTGCTCTTCCAGCAAAGATGAGAAAAGTAAAGAAGCAGGAAATCTATTGATCTGGGGACAAAGTAAGGATAGCCCAGTTAGAAAGTTACAGTATTATTAGATCATTAGATCTAATATTTGATATTAGATCAAAGAAGAGGAAGAAGTTAAAATTTGGAAAGGCATTTCTTTAGCCAGCTTCATTTGCAGTAAGTTTACACAAAGGAGTCACACAGGCCAGTATGGAAAATCCTAGAGCTTCTGTCTATCTGCATTCCTCACAGGAGAAAGAGGGAGAAAAGATGACAAATTAAGTAAGCTAACCTTGTGCACTAAGAGTAGTAAACACACTTTGCCTTACTCAGGTACTTCTCATTCAGGTTCAAAAGAGAGGACACCAAGAATTGAGGAAACAGGAAGGCCCAAAGGTGTTTATGTAGGTACGGGTAAATCATAGTTTAGTGTTACATACATCCATTCTATTTCAAGGAATGATCTGCCAGACACATCTGATCACAATAGCCAGTCTGTGTCCAGCACCTGCTAGTCAACAAGATTTTGTTTGGCTAAAATGATTAAATAATCTTATGTGTCTTGTATGAATAACTGTTAAAAGGCAATAATGTTAGTAGTCATTACAATATTTAATTTACTTAATTTAATTTGTATTGCATTGCCAACATTATGCATCTCCAGTTCCAAAGTAAACTGGAAGCATAACACAGGGTGTTCAGAAGGTTCTGCAGGACATGGACTTTCCAATCATATTTAATGACTCTCTAGCCCAGCTGGGCCAGCTGCTGGTCGGCCTGCTCCGTCTCTGCCGCTTGCCAGCTATGCCTCGGCCAGCGCAGGGGGCGGAACCACGCATGCGCGGCGCTCCTGGGCAGGGAAAGTCCTCGACTTATGACCGGTTTAGTCCTCAACTTACGACCGGTTTAGTCCTCGACTTACGACCGGTTGGGGGGGTCGCGGCATTAAAAAGGTTGAGAACCACTGCTCTAGCCTTACCAAGCAAGCTATCTGTTGCCTGTGTTGCATTAATTCTGAGAAAGGAAAGACGAAGTCTGATGGATAACTGAAGCTCGACTCAATTAAGATTACAAACACCTCAATAATTGCTAGATTTAGAGATCGGGATTTTGTAAATACAGCGTGAGAAAGGTGGAAGGTGGCCTTTTTGGACCTCTTCCTGACCTCCCACACTAGCTCCACAAACTGCTAACTGGACGGGGCGATCTGCTTCCTCGTATCCGTAGTTTTCATTAAACAGAAAAAACAAAGAGAGACGATCCTGATCACCACCGCGATGGAGAAGTCGGCGGCTATGGCGGGCGAAGGTGTCGGATTCTTTTCTACCTCGGCTGGAGGGCAGGAGGAATTGCGGCAGGGTGGGGGGGAGGACCATAGGCCATGCCTTTTCAACGGTCCCCAAGTGGCATCCTCTTAGCACTGGCCAGCGGAAGTCACTGAAACGGCGCGCCAGGGAGCAGCCAGCAGCCACTGGCCACGCAAGGGCTTCGCTCGCCTGCAGCGACAGGAAAGGAGGCGCTCACCCGGTTGTGTTGCGCGTTTATGCGAGCCTGACCGCCTCCGAGCAATGCAGCGCGACGCTTCTCTTGGATACGCTCGGGTACGGCGACGGTCCGGCTCCGGTGGCGGCTGCTGCTACTGCTGCTAAACGAGCGGCAATCTCTCAACAGACCTCTCGAGAGAAGGAAGGAAGGAACAGCCCTCAAAGCAGCCATGACTGAGTAGACTGGGAAGGCGCATGCGCTCTTTCCTCCAGAGGACGGCCGCCTCCTTGACCCTGCCTCGCTCTCTTACGGTGCGGGCTACAATTGGTTTGCTTCGCGCCCTTTGGGCTCTGAATTTGGAAATTAGCTATAAAAGATGACGGATTAACCACCTCAGAAGGTCCTAGCTTTCCAACAAGTGGGCTTATTCTCATATTCTTCCCAACCTGACCTCTTCCAGATGTATCGGGTTTCCCTCTCTCTACTATCCTGACGCTGTCGCGGAGTTTGTGCTGTGTAGCGAGCATTGCTGCCCTCTCTGTGATTGTAATTAGCAATTGACCAAGAAAAGAGAAATGTTCTTCTAAAGAAGAATAGAGCTGGAAGGGACCTTGGAGGTCTTCTAGTCCAGCCCCCTGCTCAAACAGGAGAACGTTCAGAAGGGCCTTTTGTCTACAGAAAGGACGGCCTGGTTCATTTTAAATCCACGATGTGTGTGTTGGGAGAAATATTGTGTATTAACTTGTAAAAAAAAGCTATTGGGACACCGTATCGGTAGAAGTATAGCAGTTATTAGTCCAGGGTTGCTGTCTGATCTTGTAACTAGTGAGTTTAGATGCAGGACTGGCAGTTTTAAAGAAGAAATAAGCTGTTCAGGTTTTCTTGAAAAGGGCTGTTTTCACTCAACCTGAGATACAGCTTATTTATTGAACAGATCACAGTTTCTAGGGTTGCATAGCATATTAAAGCAATCGGGACCATAGGCATGTGCAGCAAGTCACAGTGATGGGAAAATGTGAACGTGATGTTTCAGTGCGTACTTTGCCCATGTGTATTTGAGTTCTAATATCTGAATGTAACTACTTAAATTGCAGGATTTTGTGTCATGATCACTTTGTGCTCCCATCCTGTGGCTTTGGACCACAGTCTTTGAAGGAAAATTGGATTTTGTTTTCTTGCTATATTTTCCAACCCATAAATTAAGATCTTCAAAGAACATGCAGTCAGTGGCTATTCAGAACCAAGCCTTTTCAGGGGTGCTACTACTCCAACTTTGGAATCCCCTTCCCAATAAATCCTGAGCTATTCTTACTGTCCTACAATGCCAGGCCTTGAATTCTTGTTCTTCAAGGCCATCTGATAATGTGCTAATTGCAACTGTGACTTTTTTTTTTACAATTTTTACATTTTGCTATTGTTACTAGTTGTTGTTTATTTAATAAAATGTTTTACTGCTTTGTTTTAGTGTATTTGTAATTTTTAATAGTAAACCCTTCTGATATTTATTTCAACAAAAAACTATAGAAAAGTTTTAAACAAATAATTTTAAAAACAATGTTTGATTTTACCAGTTTCCAAATCACGGCTTTGCATTGTACTGAGAGGTTAAAATATATGTGTGGAAGAGTAAACCCACTGAATTGTGGTACTTTTGCATAGACTTATATGTATAAGATTGTTGATAACAAATGATGAATAATTGTATATGAATGAGGTAAATGAAAATCAAGGGTAGGTAGCTTTTTCATGCACAATATTTTGAAAGTTATGTCAATCTTTAAGATTATGCTTTTTTGCAGGGATCCAGATTAATTACTTCATAGTATTTTGATATAATCCTGTTGCTTTTGGTAAGGCTATAGCAAGAGAAAAAACTATTGAATCATCCTATTCACTTATTAACAAACTGACCAGGAGGGACAAATCAGTAATTCTCTTAAGCACTTTTGTTTTCAATCACTCTCAACAATGTTTAGTTTAGGAAAGCCTTGCTATTGATAAATAGGTAGCATTTCAGCTAAACATGTGTTTCACTGCCAGAATAACTAGTAAAAGCAATACTGATTCTATTCCGCAGTCCAAAATGAAGGTGTTGTCAAATGCCCTTGAGCTCTGCTGAGCATGCTCACTTTCATCTTAATGTCTTCAGTGCATTTGATTCTTTAGTTGTATTCTCTCTTTTTCTGTGAAGGCAGATGTGAGAATAGCAAAAAGATCTATACTACGGCTTCAACATATACCCAGAACTGACACCATTTGCTCTATTTTTGACTTTCCAGTTCAAAGGCAACAATACCCAGGTCTATTTTCTATGAATTTAGAAGGGAGAAATGGACACACGGCTGAATGTTGCAGAGCAGCTTCCTTATCCTTAATATACTTGGCCTTTGGTTATTTTGCTATACAACACCCTCTAACAAAAGGTAAAATATTATTTTTCCAATTTTGATTGTATTCTCCTTTCTTTTCTTACATTACAAATTTAATTCCTAAATGTCACTGCATGTTTATTTAAGCAAAATCTTTCTGCTTCTATTAATGTGCATGCAATTTTAAAGAGATAGCTTTGAAACTGAAACGATTTCACAGAAAATTATTAGAATTTAAATAAATTGCAGTAATCAGCTAATATAGCCTAGAATTATGTTTCTGTTATTTGAAGAATGAAACGTAAATCAGCATAGCTTACAGTGTATCTTTTCCCCTTCGTTTTCAGTTGATAGATTAGCATATTTTTTCTTCCTAATTCTTACTTCTTTAGCATTTCATAATACTCTAATAACATTATCCCTTGTAAATATTTCACAATTATAAACAATCATGCTTGGGGTTGAATAGATTAAAATTATTATTAATCAATTAAAAGGAATTTATTTAAATCACAATCTGATTTATATTAACATTTCAAACTGAAAGTATAGTAGTTGGAAGCACAGATCAGCACCACAAATATTGGAAAAGCTATCACTGCTAAAGCCATTGCCTGGTGTGAAAACAAGTTGAGAAGGAATGGAACCTAGTGACTAGTATATTTCACATTTTTAGAAGCTAAAGAGATGACTGTATTAACATAGCGGCAAGAACATCATATAGTATTTCAAATAGCCTATAATATTGGAGCACAATGGACATTTTTAAATGTATCCCTTTTATCAATGGCTGTTAGCTGATATATGCTGCCCTCTTAGAATATAAAAAAGCATGCTTCTGAACATCAGGTCTTGGGAAAAGAGTGAAAAGGATCTGTTTTATGTTTACCATAAGTCACTGATGGGAAACAAGATCCAGCATTGATTAGGTCTTTAGTTTGATCCAACTCTCATGTTTTAAATGTGAAGAATAATCTATATTCTTTCAAGAAGCCATTGTAAATATACAATATTGTTTACTTGCTCCCAATGCAGTTACATATATTTAACAATCCTATGTCAAAATACGTTTAGTGGCACCATCTGAGCTGTTACATACACGTATAAAACTGATTTATATTCAGATTCAAAGCAAAATTAATGGTAATTAGATTTTAAAAGCTCATCAGATTCAATCATTCTAAAAATATTTGGAAGCATAAAAGTAAATGTAGATGTAGCAAGAAAGATAAACATCAAGCCTATGTTTTAAGTTGTCTAAATTAGCAGTTTGGTGAAGTGGTTAAGGCACCAGGCTAGAAATTGGGAGATCATGAGTTCTAGATGACCTTGGACCAGTCACTCTCTTTCAACCCTAGGAAGCAGGCAATAGCAAGCCATTCCTGAAATCTTGCCAAGAAAACTGCAGAAGCTTTTTCAGTCACCAGACGTCAATACTGACATGAAGGGATCCCCCCCCCAAAAATTAACAAATACATTTATTATCATGAGACAGATATCTTCCCTTACAATTGATTTACTATATTGGGTTTTAGAATGAGACATTTCATTTCTTCTGAAAATACTTCAATTTATCTCATATGGTAATACAACATTAATGAATTAGGGTTATTCTAAATAGTCAAGATGTGCAACAATTTTATCAAGTATATAAATATATGTTTTTCTTTGCAATCAGTCCTTCTTATCCGATGAAATGGATTCTTCCAAACAATATCCAGTGAAAAAACGAGTGAAAATTCATCCCGACACTGTGACAGTGAAATATAGTTCTTATTATCCACAGCCTGGAGAAGAAGGGCATGAGGAACCTAGTGAAGATAATGAGAGTTTTACAGAAGATAATCCAAAAAGAAGATTGTTGAGTGATGGACAACGAACAGGAAAATCTTTCTTTGGAACAATTGACATTCCATTTCAGACAGAAAAGAAGTTAGAAGTCAACAAGAATGAACAAGGCCAAGATTTTATAGAGGGAAGCATTTTTCAGTCCAGAAAAACTTGGGCTGTGCTTTTTGGATCTGCTTTGGCCCATGGTTGTGTAGCTGTGATAACTAGACTTGCTGCCGATCGTTCCAAAGTGCCATCTCTTGAACTGATTTTCATTCGTTCTGTTTTACAAGTGTTTTCTGTTTTAGTAGTGTGCTATTACCATGAAGACCCTTTTGGACCAAAAGGCCATAGATTGAGGCTATTCTTCTATGGAGTATGTAATGTTATTTCTATTACCTGTGCTTATACTTCCTTTGCAATTGTTCCTCCAAGCAATGGGACTATTATGTGGAGAGCTACCACTACTGTTTTCAGTGCCATTTTAGCATTTTTACTAGTGGATGAGCGCATGGCTTATATTGATGTAATTACTGTAGTGAGTAGTATCTTTGGTGTTTGTTTGGTCATGATCCCCAACATTGTTGATGAAGAAAATTCTCTGTTGAATACTTGGAAGGAAGTTTTTGGATATACGATGACAGTTATGGCAGGCTTAACCACAGCTCTGTCCATGATAGTATATAGGTCCCTTAAGGATAATGTCAGCATGTGGACAGCATTATTTACTTTTGGTTGGACTGGAACAATATGGGGAGCCTCAACTATGTTTTTCCTTCAAGAGCCAATAATTCCATTGAATGGAGAAAGCTGGAGCTATCTCTTTGGCATCTGTATATGTTCCACAGTGGCTTTTCTTGGGGTCTATTATGCGTTGAGCAAATTCCATCCAGCATTGGTTAGCACAGTGCAACATTTGGAGATTGTGATAGCCATGATTCTTCAACTTCTTATACTACACATCTTCCCCAGTATTTATGATATAATTGGAGGAGCAGTTATCATTATTAGCATAATTTTCCTTGCGTGTTATAAGCTATCTTGGAAAAATTTTAAAAAACAAGATTACCAGGAAATATTAGATTCTTCCGTTAAATGAATACAAAATTATTGTATTTTTATGTAGTGCAGAGTGTAATTAATATGACTGTGTTTGTGTGTATAGTGCTATTAACAGCATATCACAATTTGTTGTTCAGATACATGACATCAAGTCAGCCCTAATACAGTTCAGTAGAGATGTATGAAAATGTCTTTTTATGATATGTGAAAAATGTTCAAAAATGTGAAAATTATGAAAATAATATTCTTAGTATACAGAAAGTGCCAAAGATTAATGTAGGCAGTTTTTGCTATGAAAATGGTATATCTATATAATCATCAAGAACTAATCTCAGTTCAATGGAGTCTTTACTTTTTTATCCTTGGAATCTAGAAAACATAATTTTATTCTATATTTAAAATAACACAGTAATCTTGGTGTGGAATAGAAGTAAATCATAACAATCGTATTCCTTTACTTATAATTATAGAAATAATTATATAGAATTTGTCTTTGATCTTTGGTATGTGGTTCATTGTTAAATATAACATCTGAATTGTGTACCTGCAGTTCTTTTTTAAAATAAAATGTCCTACTTTTGAACACTTTCATCAACGATTTGGATGATGGGATAGATGGGGAACTCATCAAATTTACAGACAACACCAAGCTGTCAGGAATAGCCAACACTCCAGAAGATAGGTTTAAGATACGGAAGGTTCTTGACAGACTTGAACATTGGGCGCTAGCTAACAAAATGAATTCAGTGGTGAAAAAAGTAAGGTTCTACATTTAGGCAAGAAACCCCAAATACACAGGTACAATACAGGTGGTACCTCGGTCAATGGTAGCACCATGTTTTCCCCAAAGTAATACCTACCCCAAAAATAAGCCCTAGCTTGATTTTTTGAGGTGGGCCTAATATAAGCCTTATCCCAAAAATAAGCCCCAGTTTTGGGGTGAGGTGCATGCCTAAAAATCAAGCTAGTGCAGGGATGGAGCTTACAATTGTAGCCAGGCCTCCCATGGATCGACACTTGCCTCACCGGCCCACTTCTGTGTCTGAAGGAGCAGATTCATTCTGCAGCTGAGAATGGAGCTCGTGCTTGTATTTCGCAGTCAGAGGCCTTTCCAGAAGGCCTGTGCAGCTGAGAACTGAACTATGGATTCAATCCGTAGCTCGGTTCTCGGCTGCCCAAGCCTTCCGGAAAGGCCTCTGACGATGAAATGCAGGCCTGAGCTCCATTCTCAGCTGCAGAATGAAGCTACTCCTTCAGCCACAGAAGAAATGGGCCAGCTAGGTGGGGCTGTTGGTGCCACCGCCGCAAGGTGAGTGGAAAAGACCCCCTCCCCCAAAATAAGACCTGGTGCCTCTTTGAAGCAAAAAAAAAAAACATTTTATTTTCGGGGAAACACGGTAATTGTGAGAGGGATCTTGGAGTCCTAGTGGACAATCACTTAAATATGAGCTAGCAGTGTGCTGCAGCTGTCAAAAAAGCCAACACAGTTCTAGGTTGCATTAACAGAGAGATAGAATCAAGATCACGTGAAGTGTTAATACCACTTTACAATGCCTTGGTAAGGCCACACTTGGAATACTGCATCCAGTTTTGGTCACCACAATATAAAAAAGATGTTGAGACTCTAGAAAGAGTGCAGAAAAGAGCAACAAAGATAATCAGGGAACTGGAGGCTAGAACATAAAGAACAGTTGCTGGAATTGGGTATGTCTAGTTTAATGAAAAGAAGGATGAGGGATGACATGATAGCAGTGTTCCAATATCTCGGGTTGCCACAAAGAAGAACTAGTCAAGTTATTCTCCAAAGGACCTGAGGGCAGGATAAGAAGCAATGGATGGAAACTAATCAAGGAGAGAAGCAACCTAGAACTAAGAAGAAATTTCCTGACAGAACAATTAATCAGTGGAACAACTTGTCTCCAGAATCTGTGAATCTCCAACACTGGAAGTTTTTAAGAAGATATTGGACAACCATTTTCTGAAATAGTATAGGGTTTCTTGCCAGAGCAGGGGGCTATTCTAAGTATGTAGAGATAACGAGCAATTTTGTATTTCAACAGATAAACGCAAGTTACCATTTTAGGACTCAATTCAAGATCAGAAAAATTATAATTGCGAAGGAAAAAAATGAATGTAGTCTGAAGACGATTGATGTTGTTAATGAAAACCATGTCAACTTTGTAACCTGTTTTATTTCATAAAAAAATGTGTTTAGGATTACAATGATCAAATATTTGACATAATTATGTGGTATGAATAATTCAAACATTTGATAATTCTGATTGTGATTATATGATCCACAAATGACATGACATGGCTGACCTTATCTGTGCTCAGAAGCTATGTTGGGCTTGGCCCAATTAGTTTTGATGGAGATGACCAGCAAATACCAGGGCTATAGTCTGAGCAGTCAAAAACTATCCCTGAAAAAGGCTATAGTAAACCATTTCCACACTATTGCCAAGAAGTCATTAGCAGCTGAGCTTGACTGGAAGAAAACTTTTATGTTACCTAATACTTCTATGTTATTGTAATTCCAATATTTCAAGTCTCTTATTTTATCCCATCTGAATGTTTTTGATTGAATGTGTGTGTAGGTGCTCAATAGATAAAAATATCAGCCACATACTCCCTCACAAAAATACACAATGACCCAGAAGTATAGGAACTAATACTAAGACAAAAAGTTACCTGAGGTACCTGAAATAAATACATTTTCCACTGAAATGCCAATTCTAAAAGTATCAGAATGAAATATCCAGCAAATTATATGAATCTGGTTTTACTTTTTTAAATAAAGGATGGTTTTAAAAAAAGCAATTTCTAGCAGTCTATAAGACTTATGAAGCTTAATCAATTTATACAATATTGTAAGAGTTTGTATCCTATCTATTATTTGATTTTATAATAAATACCAACGATGTCTTTTTTTTCCTTAGTACAGACCATCACAAATAGCAGCCTTATCTAGTCTGCATCACTATCATAAAATCCATTTTCAATCTTAAAAAGAACCCTGGAAAGACTTTCTCACAGGCTTCAGATGGAAAAAGCAGAGATATATTCTCATATACCTAATGATGAGAAATTGCTTCAAAATTCTAAAAATTGCAAATGGATAAAAGATAATTAAGATTGGATACAAGAATAATGGAACTTCCCAGTAAAGAATAAGTAGGTAACACTGCCCAACGCCTGTCTCCGTGTTGCCAACATGATTGTTTCAAAAACAAGTACTCTAAAACAACCTGGAGAATCAAACCATATGTTCAGAAGGTATAGTAGCCAGGCCTTAAAGAATTTGCATTAATTATAATGTTAACAATTTTATTTAGTTTTCATGTTTTATATTTTATGTCAAGACTTAAGTTAAAAATATCATGTTCAATATTTTAAGTTAACTGTATGAAGTTCATTAGGACAGGAAGGCAGGATAAAAACTGGAATATTTCAGTAATTAAATTAATTTCTTTTTGCAGGATAGGACATCCATCAAGGGAATTAAAGCAGTTTGACATGGATTATCACCAATTCAAAAGGATTAAACTGTTTTATAGATTAGGTAATGTTCCAAATATCAAAGGTATTATTAAATGAATACAAAAAGATACAAAGATCATTGTTAATTTCAGAAATGGCAGGCATCTTAACAATTCAACTGTGGAGGTGGTTAGTAGTATCAAGTTTTTGGGTGAAGTGGGCGCATCAGTGTCTGCATTTTCTGCGTAGTATGAGAAGAGCACATTTTCCTTCCCTTATTCTTACCACTTTCAATAGGTGGATGATTAAAAGCATCCTGTTGTGTTGTATTACTGTGTGGTTGGGATGTATTACTGTTTCGGACAGGAAGGCTGTGCAGAGAGTGGTGAGGACAGCAGAAAAGATTATTGGAAGTTCACTTCCTTCTATCCAGGGTATAGCATATAAGCGATTTGGGGGTCTATAGTATTGTCAGGGACGTTACACATTCTCTCCAGTTACACATTCTCTTATCAGTTTTCTTTGTTACCTTCTGGGAGGAGGTTTCGCAGTATCCAAAGCAGAACAACTAGATTCGGTAAGAACTTTATACCATATGGTATCAACCTTGTTAACTCTCAAGACTCTTTTTCTGCTACGTATTCAAAATGGACTGTGATTAATATGTATGTGTGTGTGTTTGTGTATGTATATATGTATGTGTGTGTGTATATATGTAATATTACATATAATATATATATACACACACACAGGGCATCAGAATTTCATTTTTTTAATGTGTACCAGTGTGTTCACAAAAAAATGGCAATAAAGGTAATCTTATCTTTTATTATGATAATGATATTTCACTAGTGGTATTATAATTGCCATCTTTAAGTGTTGAAACAACACTGCTATCAGAAGAATCTAGGTCTCTAATTTATTTCCATTAGCCAGACTAAACTAGGAGCTAAGAGAGCATATTATTCTATTTGTATCTCCCAAAATCAATTATCAGCTAGGAATGGAACATGACAGGGAGTGTATTGTGTTCCTGCCTTGCATGTGATCTTTCCACAAGCCTCTCTTATTCTGTAAAATCAGAATTCTGGTCTAGGTGAGCCTTTAGCTTACCCAGCACAATTCATACATATTTATGTAGGTTCCAGTAAAATTTGTATTGGTAAATTTGGACACTATAGATGTTTGATACAAGAACAGAACCAAAATTCAAGGTGATGTGGCATTTTCTATTGCCAATAATTTGATCTGAAATTCATAGATTGAGTGTTCATTATTCATTTCCAATGATGGACTGTTAACAGAGTTGTATAGTGTACTATATTAAAAAGTGCTTAGGTTCTTCTCCCCTGCATGACCTATTTATGCCACAATCCTATATACATACAGTCTAATAAATTATAATATACTTCCTCCTTGGTAAAAATATACATTAATTATAAACTGACAAATAATGATAGATTACAGGATTCTTCTCTCTTCTTACCCCTATATTTTAAATGCTCTGGGCATTAATTAATTTCCAAAATCATATAAACCCTCAGACATTTACCAAATTTCAAAGGATAATCCTTGAAGAATAATGCTCTGAAATAGAGAAGTAATCAATGTCCAAAGGGATCAATCACCTTATCCTCCTTGATGCAGGTAATCTGGAAAAACTGAGGACCACTGATCAATTTCCTTATCTTCACCAGTCCTGCCATTTTAGAAAGCACAGATTTAATGTCAAAGCACTAGTTATCTTGCCAAGCTTGTATCCCCAAAATGTAGTCCAGTTGTAAGATTTGTTCCTGATCTTCAGTTCTTCCATCCAGTTGAGGAACAGAAGACAGCATGTCATCTGACTGCACAAAAAGGGGGAAACAACCAGCAATAGCAGGTAGGGGAAAGAATGCTTGTCAGAGCTGATTCCCCTCTGCCTCCCGTGTTGCTATGGTGACAAGAGACGCTGTTGTTTGCTTGGGAGCCGTTGCCAAACCATTGAACAGGTACATTATGCTGAATTCTTGCCATTCTAAGAACTGATATTTCAAATCCACCTTTCCTTT